GTATTTTGTCCAGAAACTTGAAATGATCAATAATGTGTTCATAAAATATTTATTTTTATTGTGAAATAAATCATTCAACATGAACAACAAAAAGCAATTACCATTGCATGACATCATACGTTTGTAGTTTAAATTTTAAATATTAAAAACTTTTATAAAAGGTTTTAATTAATTCTGCTGAAACTTTTAATCTCATTTTTTTTACAATCACTGCAGTTTTAAAAGTGTCATGTTTATTTCAAATGAGTAATTTAGAAGTCATTTCTACATACTTGTATCGAGATAAATGATCATTTAAATTTGTTATTTACAATTATTGTCCGAATTCTAAAATTAAACCTTTTTTGTTCAATAATGCAAAAAAATCTAGCGGAATGATTTGCAGGATTAGTATTATTGAACGAGAATCTATGAGCGTCAAAATAAACAAAGATAAAAGTAAAAGTTGTGATGATTGTTAAAACAGTATTTATTGATTTTATCACAAAAATGGAAACGTGATTAAAATTTAGCCACATTATCATCATTAAAGTTTATCTACAAGATGTAGTGTCCGTTTCTGAAACCATTTATTGTTAGACAAAGTTTATCGGTTTTATAAATGTTATAAAAACACCAATCAGATGATCGCTGCATTATTTATTATAAGAATTATCAACAGAATAAAATATTAAATCATTCCAGAAAGCAAGAACACTAAAACGCGATGCTCTAGCCCACTAAAAGCATATAGTCAAAAAAGCTTAGAAATTGAATCAAGAATGTAATAACAAAGGGCGACAAAAAAAAGTCATGTCGTGACAACTTGACAAATTATATATCATTTTGTTCGTCTCAGTGAGACAAATCAAATGCACTAAAAAAAATTTCAAAAATTTTTTTTCCTAATTTAAATGAATTTGAAATACTTTAACTTTAAAAAATCATTACTCAATAATTGTTATGCCGATTTTTTTCAAATAAAGACCATTCTAAAGTGATGGACTTGCCCTTTAAAATGATATGCAGTTTGAAATTGAATATTGGCCAACTTTTCTTCGAACAGTGTTCGAAGAAGTTCGAAGTAAATCGAAGTAATCTAAGGAAAACCCTACGAGTAATTTTTTTCTTCATCACCATCGTGTAGAGCATCTTTTTATTAGTTGTAATCCAAATTTTTAAAATAATATACCGAGTAGTTTTCAAGATATGATTTTTTGAAGTTAAAGTTTGCAATTCAGGCATTGCGCCATATAAATGCATGTTAATCTTACTTAAAATTGCATTTTTATAAAAGTATTTCTTTTAAAACTCTTCTTTTGCTTAAAAATGGTCAATTTCATCTTCATTGTTCTAATTAGAATAAACAAAAACTTTTTGTTTACTTAAAACAAACAAAGAGTACCTGCGTACTAATTAAAGCAAATAAAAAGTTTTTTTTGTTCTAAAAATAACCACTGATCATTGAGCAAAAAGGATTTAGAAGGTTAACGCACTAGCCTTAAAAATAAGGGCAAATCTTTTTCATATGAAATCACTTTCGGTTCAGATTCCGACTTGTTCACTTTGTTCTAGCTTTCTGAACTTTTTTTTGAAAATGTTCTCAGCAAATGCTTCATTATCTCTTTAGAATGGTCTTACTTTGAAGGAAATCGGCATAACAATTATTGAGTAATGATTTTTTAAAGTTAAAGTATTTCAAATTCATTTAAATTAGAAAAAAAATATTTAGTTCAAAGTGTATGGACTTTTTGAAAATTTTTTAGTGCATTTGATTTGTTTCACTGAGACGAACAAAAAGATATATAATTTGTCAAGTTGTCACGACATGACTTTTTTTTATCGCCCAGTGTAATCAACTTGTTTCGATTGAAAAAAAAACTTTTGAAACGATAAATTTAAATTTGTATCTTTTTTGAATAAAAGTTTCTATTTATATTCAAATAAGTTGTACCTACTTGAAATAAGTACAAATATAGAAAATCTTGATAAAATAACTCCTCAATTGATAAGTTTTTTTAAGGTAACCCCGGACAAAAAAAATCGGCTTAGGTCAAAAACCAGCAGTTCATTTTCCACAATATTGTAGATAAAGTAGTTTAATAATTTATTGATAAAAACAAGACGAACAGTTGGTTGCCTACACTAAATAAATAAATTTTGCTCGAGCATCGAAATCATCACTCCATTTGTTTGTTAAATGAAAATCGATTAAATACTAATGGCAATAAGTACTATAATAGCAATTCATCAAAAGCTCTCGATAATGAGTAAAATGATTATTTATTAAAACAAACATACATTTCAACACTAAAAACTAAAATACTAACAGACAACCCAGTCACAAGTATATAAAAAGCGACCGAAATTTGACGGAAATCCAAAGTTTTTGAAAAAATCAAAGTTTTGGCTTTTAGTACTTTATCAATTCTGTAGTTAGCCTTAGAAACAAGCTTGCTTGAAATCCCTGAATTGAACATTCGTTTCACAATCTCTTTATATCGAAAATAAAACGGATGCCCTTTTGAAAAATAAATGTACGCATAATCGAGTTTAATTCTTTTTGGTATTAGATGCACCAAAGGTTCTTTATAACCCATCAAGTAAAATTTATAGACTGTGTATTTATACTCAAGTTTGCGAAGTGTCATCGCAGTTTGAACCTTTTGAGCAAATTTGTCAAGGATTTTCTCCCTGTTTTGATCAGTGAGAGTAAAACAATTTGTAATATAACTCCTCGAAATTTCTTCCTCTTGAGACGAATTGTAAATTTTTTTAACTTCGTCAGTCGTAAAACATGGCATTTTTGACTTAACAATTTCTCTAAAAGTGTTAATTTGATGTTCACGCAAGTCACTCGTAAATGAGTGAATCATCACAGTCTTAAAACTCGTCGATAAGATTAAAAATGAGAAAATTGTGAGAACGATGAGAATTCGAGTAGAGCTTTTGCGAATTTTGTGTAATGTAAAATTGCTATTTTCGATCAGGATTTGATAATGGATTAGGAACGAAGAGTCCAAATATTTTTTCATCAGAAAACATCCAAGTAAAGACAAAATTATGAGAGTCAACACAACTGATAACCAGGTCCATGTGTCAAAGTTGTAATAAAGCGACTTCCATGCTGGCAGACGTTCAGATTTTGGAACCACCCAATAGGAATAAAACGTTATATAAAGGGGTGTTAAATCAAATTTAAAAAAATCGATCTTTCTGGCTGTATTAAAGTTAAGCATAAATGGAAATTTTCTTTTAAGCAAATGATCTAAAAATTCAAAATTAATATTGTTGAAGAAAATTAATAAACCAACCTAAAGCAGCGGTGCGATTATCTGTTCCATTTTGAGTATTTTCCACCGGAGTGAATTTTATTGTTAATTTGCTAGCAACAGTTTTTAAAAATCTGTTGTAAACTCCTCGGAGATTACCATTATTCCAATGAATATATGGATAATCTTGGAAAAATAGTACCTCATATGAGACGTTATTCTTCTGTGAGTTGTTGTCAAAAACGGTTGATTTCACGTTGACACATTGCAAAACTCGAAGACTTGGAGTTATCAAATGACCGGTGAAGTTTACCAAAATCACATCATATATATAGTAATTGGCCAACTCTCGAAAAAAAGATTCGTAATTTGTCGAATTTATACAAAGTATGAATTTTGCTCGTGGATTAAAAATTTCAACCTTTTCAAGATTTTTCAGCACTGAATCTATATGGTTTTCAAAATGTGTAATAACATAGAAATCTGGTTTTCGATATTCAAATAATTTTAATTCGGAATCGGAACTCGTCTGATAAATGGCTGGAAATGACAATTTCAAGTCTGTATCAATTAAATATATCAAAGTGTCAGATTTAAAATAAATCTTAATAATTTTATCAATACACTCATTAATAAAAAAATTTGTTCTAGCCAAATTACAGAAACCTGAAAGTAAAAAAGAACAAAATATTAAATCTAATCGCATGTTTAGTGACCCGAAAACTGAAGAAAATAATTCATTTTCAGTAAAGTGTAATTTGGTATTATTAATAGATTTTTTTTTATTTTGTTAATTGTTTATCGATTTTAGCCGTAAATAACAATAATTCATTATATAATAAGAAATTAGGAAAAATTTCCTAATAGACAAAATTAATGAAATTTGACCGAATTGAAAAATATTTCAGCGAAAAATACACTCAGGCTAATTCCCAAACCGGCCAATAATACATAAAAGGCTACTGAAATCTGCTGAAAACTTAAAGTATGTGGTCGAATATAACTTTTGGCTTGAAGTAATCTATCAATGTTGTACTCAGTTTTCGCTAACAAGTATTTTCTAAATCCACTGTCATACATCCTTCCTATAATCTCGCGATATCTGAAGAAAAGTGGATGTCCTTTTGCAAAATAAAGGTAAGCAGGATCTAATTTAATTCTTGCTGGAATACTGGACAAAAGACCATCCTCATATCCCATTAAATAAAATTTGTATGAAAAATGTTTGAATTCAATTCTTCTAAGTGTGATTGTGATCGGTTTTCTCTGCGCAAATTCTTGAACTAGAAATTGTCTGTTTGTGTTTGTTAGAGTGGTACATTTGGAAATGTAACTTTTATACGGTTCTGTTGACGTAGCATATATTAATTTTACTTCATCAGTGGTGTAACATTTCATATGCGAATTGATAATCTCTTTTAGTGAATTTATTTGACGTTCTTTTGGACGTTTCTCAAAAGAGACGATCATCAAAGTTTGAAAAGTTGCAGTTAAAACCATGAAAGAGAATAAAGTCGTCAAGATAATGACCCGAGTTGAGTTTTTTTTAAATTGGTTTAGGTCTAAACCGTTTTCTAGAAGCATTTGGTAGTGCAGTAAAATCAATCGAAGCAAGTCGTGTCTGTTAAACGAATGGTGAAAAACACTTAAAAATATGAGAAAAAACAAAATTGACAACCAAGTAAATACATCAAAACTGAGGTAAAGAACTTTCCATCCCGGCAAATAATCGGCTTTCAAAACTACCCAAAAATATTGCATTCCAAGGTTAAGAGAAACTGCATCAAATTGCGTGTAATAATTGGCGTTTTCGAAATTCATCATAACAGCACAGTTTCGACTTTTCAATAATTCTGAAAGTAGATTATCAAGTTCGGAAATGTGTCTTATCAAAAATGAGTAACCTAAAGTGGTGCTCCGATTATCGTACCCTCCATTAACAAATTCAAAGAGTTGGGTATTAAACCTCAGAAAAGTTTGAACGGTGGCGAAGTAGTTGTAAAAAAAACCTCCCAATTTTCCATTTTTCACATACAGGTACGGATAATCTTGATAAAAAACAACCGGAATTGTGACATTTTTCCACAAGTGTGTTAACTCCTCGTAAAAAATATTTGTGTGGTTTAGATTGGCATTGCAATTGTAAGTTGTAATTTTGATATCATTGTTGATAATATTAAAACTTACGATGTTTCCTTTTGTGTCAACCAAAATTGCATGATAAATAAAATAACTGGTCAATTTTTGAAAATAAAGCTTGTAGTTGGTTGATTCAACAACAATAACAAAATAGGCACGAGCGTTAAAAATATCAAAATTTGAAAGAAATTCGAGGGTTGGACTTAAGTCATCCTTAGATGTAATTACATAGAAATCTGGTTGTCTGTAGTGAAACTGTATCAAATTGTCTTGAGTTGTGTTTTGATGTATCACTGGGTACGATATTTGATAGCTTGAGTCAATTAAGTAAATTAATGAATCAACTTTGCAATAAATTTTGATAATTTTATTGATGCACTTATTTACTGAACTGTTTTCATTAATTTCTCCCCGAACTGGACATAGGATTATAAAAAACACGAGAAAATACTTTAGTGTCATGGTTGGATGTGAAAAATATTTTGATTGAAAATTGGTCAGTCGCATTGTAAATATTTTCGTTTTTCTTCAGTGAAAGCTTGAATAAGTAAATAGGAGTCATAGAGAAATAACAACATGAATTGATAATAACGATAATGGCTAGAAAATCAAGGTTATTATCAACTTTGGAAAATATAAAAAATGTAAATATCGGAAAGCTATTCAGGTGTTTCTAGATGAAGAAAAAAAATCTTAAGTTGATTGATATTGATTTTAAAAACACAAGTTTTAAAAAATTACTTTTATTTTATCTGAGAAAATATTAACAATAAAACAAATAATTCTTAAATTTGTGTGTGCTAAAATAAATAGAAAATAATATTAGTTAAACTATTTAAAACTAAATACACAGTTGGCTAATTTTGTGTTTAATACGGAATAATTTGTTTGCTGATTATCAGAGTAATTGTAAAATATGTTATGACGTATGATTATTACCGAATGTATATCAAATATTAGCCTAAGTATTCAAATGTGAGAGCGTTGTCATCCACATTTAAAAATGCTTTGGACGTTTATTCTCCTTTCTTCACTTGTTCTTTGTTCAAACGCAAAAAACAATTCACTGCTTAAACCAGTTTCTAGAAACAGTGTGGAACAAAATGTTTGTCTTGAAAAACTTATTAGTAAAGTGAGTCTTCCGGACTCTGAAATTTTTTTTATTAACTCGCAATTGAAAATTCCTTTTCCCGTCGTGTATCAGGATTTATCACTGGAGTATTTTCACATTTTCAAATTTCGTAAACCAAATGTTTACATTATCACACTACAAGACATTCAAGTTGCAACAATAGTAGAGTCTCTTTTAAAATTTCAGATTTATAATCCAAGAGCGACTTTTATCATAGTCGTTTCTGAAACAGTTGACAAAAAACAAATCCTTCTACAATTATCAAAATATTTCATTTACGACGTAATTTTGTTGACTAGGGAAAGTTTGCATTTGACAACATATGAACCCTTTAAAAACGAAAAAGTTTTTGATGAAAACATTGAACCAAAAATTTTGGCTAATTGCGAGTCTTTTGACTTATCAATGATGGCTGAAAAACAATTGCCGAAATTGTGGAGAAATACAACAGTTTCAGGAGTGTTTCACGATTTTTTCCCATATTTGTATGAAGGCAAATCCAGAATAGAAGGAGGTGATTTTTACCTTTATAGAAAGTTTATTCAGAAAGCTGGTTTTAAAAATCACACTTATTTGAAAGTGGATTTTGTCGGTTTTGATAAAAGAAACGGTAGTTATGATGGCGCTTTAAGTATTATTTTTATTAATTTAATTCAATTTTGAAACTGATGTAATAATTGTAGAAAAACTCTTCGACCGGGAAGCAACCATACTAATAAACGTTTACGAGGCTCATGAGCATTTAATCCACGATTTTGATATGGTACCACTCCATATGGGTACTCCTCAGTACTGGGTTGTACCACATGCACGTCCTCGAGCATACTGGAAAGCAATAATTTTCAGTTTAATTATGATCTTTGGTTGATTATTACACTCTTTCTCGTTGTGTTAAGTCTAATTTGGACGTGTTTAGACAACAAAAATTTTCTTGTCTCATTTCTGATAATGTATCAAATATTGACTGAAATATCAGTTTCTAGTGTTATCAAAGTTCGCTCAAATTCGACACGATTTTTAGTATTTGCAGTGCTTTTGCCATTTCTAGTTCCATCAACAACATTCAAAAGTGCAATGATTCACTCACTGACAAGCAATTCTTACGAAACACAAATCAATTCTTTGAAAGACATAATTGACTATAAATTAACCTGTAATATCACAAAATCGATTCAAAAAACTTTTGGACACTCAAACGATACTTATGAAAAATATGTTAAAGCATGTCACACTCACCAATCTGAAAAAGATAATAACAAAATTTTTGAAGAAATTGTAATCAACAAAAGAAACGTTGCTACAATATCTAGAATGACACAGTACAAAAGAGCTGTAACAAAATTTTATCAAGCAGGATACAGAGGATCTTTAATGCATGTAATACCAACACCTATAGTCTACACTTACATGAATTTTTATTTGGCGAAAGGAAGTCCTTTTTATTATCGGTTTCTTGACATTAGTAAAAGATTCCAGTCGAGCGGAATTACAAAAATTGTGTATAGAAATCAAGTCTGGGAATCAAAAAGAGTTATCAGTTTTCATCAACTGCTAAATTCCAAGAATTTATCAATTAGACAAGTCGCTGTGGCATTTTATATTCTGTTCATCGGACTGGTTGTTGCTTTTGGAGTATTTTTAGTAGAAGTTTTATACAATTTGTTTTTTAGATAATAGAATCAAAAATATTTCAGTTAAAATACAGAAAAAAAAAACACAATCATAAAATATTTTAAAGCGTTGTATTTCTAGTGACGGAATAAAAACTATTTTATTCAAATCTCGTTTTTTGCTCATCAGTTAGCCCAAAAACAGATAAGACATGCTATAGCAATAGGACAAAGAGCCGAATCATAGGACTGCTTTAGCTTTCGATTCCTTTCGTTCAAATAACATTTTTAACATTTTTTTAAACCCAAATGCTTGTAATCGACTACTAATATTAAAACATCTATGATATAACGGACTACCTTTTGAAAACTAAATTTAGTAATAGGCTATAGATATTAAATCTTTAAATTTTTAGCTTTACTAAAATCGAGCACAAGAAAGAGCAAAATATAAGTATTACACTCATCGTTCAAATAATCAATGATTATTAAAGTCATAGTGACAAAATTTTATTAAATTACGATAATTAACTAATAAATTTTCATAATTTTATTAATACAGTCATTTACGGAACTAAGGTTTATGAACAACATAAAAAATACGTTAATGTCATGATTAGATGTGAAAAATGTTTCGATTGAAAATTTCTTATTTGTATTGGAAATATTTTCGTTCTTCTTCTGCGAATAGAAAAATAACATCCGGAGGATCAATTATTATTATCAACTTTGGAAAATATAAAAAATGCAAATACTTAATTTATAAAATAGAGTACTGTTTCTTGAAAGACCTTTGGCGTGTTCCTAGCAGAAATTTTAATCATTTTTTTTTGTAAAGAAAAAAATCTTGTGTTGATTTTTATTGATTTTGAAAACGACAGTTTTTTTATTTTAGCTGAGAAAGTCCTAACAATAAAATAAATAATTCTTTAAAAATAATATTAATTAAACAATCTAAAACTAAATACCACAATTGGCTAATTTTGTGTTTTAATACGCTAATTTGTTTTCTGGTTATCAGAGTTCAGAGAAATTGTAAAATCGTACTATGACGTACTATTACCGAATATATTATATCAAATATTCATATGTCATTAATGTGAACGTTAGGAATAAATAATACTTTTATGAAGAGAAAAATTAATATTAATATAAATAAATATTTCTAAACTGTATTGAATGTTTTATGAACAAAATAAAAACTATATATATTTCCAAAAAAAAAAATGTATAAAACGTGTTGTTTTAGCCTAAGTATTTAAATGTGAAAGCGTTGTCATCCACATTTAAAAATGCTTTGGACGTTTATTCTCCTTTCTTCACTTGTTTTTTATTCAAGCGCAAAAAATTATTCACTGCTTAAACCAGTTTCTAGAAACAGTGTGGAACAAAATGTTTGTCTTGAAAAACTTATTAGTAAAGTGAGTCTTCCAGACTCTGAATTTTTTTTTATTAACTCGCAATTGAAAATTCCTTTTCCCGTCGTGTATCAGGATTTATCACTGGAGTATTTTCACATTTTCAAATTTCGTAAACCAGATGTTTACATAGTCACTCTAGAAGAAAATCAAGTTGGAACAATAGTAGAGTCTCTTTTAAAGTTTCAGATTTACAATCCGAGAGCGACTTTTATCATGATTGTTTCTGAAACAGTTGACAAAAAACAAATTTTCCTACAATTATCAAAATATTTCATTTACGACGTGATTTTGTTAGAAAGGGAAAGTCTGAGTTTGACGACATATGAACCCTTCAAAAACGAAAATGTTTTTGATGAAAACATTGAACAGAAAATTTTGGCCAATTGCGAGTCTTTCGACTTATCAATGGCTGAAAAAAAACTACCGAAATTGTGGAGAAATACAACAGTTTCAGCAGTGTTTCACGACTTTTTTCCCTATTTGTATGAAGGCAAATCCAGAATAGAAGGAGGTGATTTTTACATTTATAGAAAGTTTATTCAGAAATCTTGTTTTAAAAATCACACTTATTCTAAAGTAGAATTTGCCGGTTTTGACCAAAGAAACGGTAGTTATGATGGCACTTTAAGTATTATTTTTATTAATTTAATTTAATTTTGAAATTGATGTAATAATTTTAGAAAAACTCTTCAACCGGGAAGCAACCGTACTAATAAATGTTTACGAGGCTCATGAGCATTTAATCCACGATTTTGATATGGTACCACTCCATATGGGTACTCCTCAGTACTGGGTTGTACCACATGCACGTCCTCGAGCATACTGGAAAGCAATAATTTTCAGTTTTAATTATGATCTTTGGTTGATAATTACACTCTTTCTTGTTGTGTTAAGCCTAATTTGGATGTGTTTAGAGAACAAAAATTTTCCTGTCTCATTTCTAATGATATATCAAATATTGATTGAAACGTCAGTTCCTACTGTTATCAAAGTTCGTTCAAATTCGGCCCGATTATTTGTTTTTGCAGTCTCTTTAGCATTTCTAGTTCAATCAACAACATTTAAAACTGCAATGATTCGCTCACTGACAAGCAATTCTTACGAATCACAAATCAATTCTTTGAAAGACATAATTGATTATAAATTGACTTGTAATATAACAGAAGCTATTCAAAAGACTTTTGAGCACTCAAACGATACTTATGAAAAATATGTTAAAGCATGTCACACTCACCAATCTGAAAAAGATAGCAACAAAATTTTTGAAGAAATTGTAATCAACAAAAGAAACGTTGCTACAATATCTAGAATGACACAGTTCAAAAAGGCTAAAATTAAATTTTATCATGCAGGATATAAAGGACCTTTAATGCATATGATACCAACACCTGTGGTCTACGCTTATATGAATCTTTATTTGGCGAAAGGAAGTCCTTATTATCATCGGTTTCTTGACATTAGTAGAAGACTCCAGTCTAACGGAATTACGAAAATTGTGTATAGAAATGAAGTTTGGGAATCAAAAAGAGTTATCAGTTTTCATCAATTGCTAAATTCGAAAAACTTATCAATTAAACAAGTCGCTGTGGCATTTTATATTCTGTTCATCGGACTGGTTGTTGCTTTTGGAGTGTTTTTAGCAGAAGTTTTATGCATTTTTTTTAGATAATAGAGTAAAAAATATTTGTGTTAGAATAAAGAATAAATAATCACATAAAATATTTTCTAAAGCATTTTATCTCTAATTAGTAATTACGGAATAAAAACATTTTATTCAAATCTCGTTTTTTGCTCATCATTTTTTCGAAAAACTTCACAAGCGCTACACTAAGAAACTACAGATAAAACGCTACGCCATATTCTCAATAATATTCTCAATAGTCATTTTCTTAGACCAGAAAGCTTGTAATCGACCACTAATACTCGTATCTATTGACAAATAAATATTGTAATACACCATTGGTCCTGGTAATATATGGAGCAAAAGTTTCTTGTCCATAAATTTGTTCAAATCGTGTTCAAACTGAGTGGTTCTTGATGTGATTTCAACATCACCTTTAAAAGCAATCCAGTCCAAAATTTCGTCCTTTTTCTCTTCAAATTCGTGAATTGCGCAATTGTCGAAGTAGTTTTTGTATGGATTTTTGGAGTCAAAATAGGTCATTTTTACGGTATTTGTAACGTTGCAGGATAATCCATTATCAACCATATCCTTAAGACATTTACCGTAAAATGGAGTTACTTTGACATCCCGAGTTACTTTAACACGTTGTGGGGCTACTAATTCTGTTTCATTTACAGTATAGGTACTTACCGAAATTATGTTTATTTTATTTTTATGCCATATAAAAGCCATAACATATGTCAATGATAACATATCAAAAAAATAAAATATTTTTTTTTTTAGAAAATATATATTTTATGTGTTAAAGTACCCCTCAGGTAAGTATAACTTAACGTAATTAAACGTAATTAAAAATAGCCCCGAAGTCGGGGTTTGACACCAAATTTTCTAATTTTTTTTTGGAAAAGTATGACCTTGAGGAATAATTTTAAATTTGTTTGTTAAAGCAGAAGGATCAGTTGTTCTGATGGTAACTTTTTCAAGAAAATTTTGCATAAAATAAAAAAGTTACAATAAGGAAACCTCTCAAACTATGTCAACAAACTCGATTTACGGTAATCTATTTCACGTAATCATCTCATAGACTTAAACTCAGTTGAAATCACCAAAAAGGACAAAAGTTACAAGTCGGGGGAAATTTGTCTGAAGTTTTATTTCACTATTGGTCGATTACAAAATTAATTGCAAAATGGTCAAAAAAGACGAAAAAATCCACCTTTTGCTAAAAAAGCCAAGATGTTGCAAGCAGCAAAAAAATTATATAACCAACCAAAAAAAAAATCGCTTTCTAAAACGGCACACGTTGAGCTTTTGGTACTTTCCTCGAATACGAAGCAACCAAATTAAGTGGAACTAAGTCGAAATCTAAATAAGCAGGCAAGTGTGTTTGCCAAAAGTTCATAAAAGTTTGAGTTTTTGGGTTTTAAAGATCCTTTAAAAAACTAACATATTTATAAAAAATATTGGGGAGAACTTTACCTACTTTACCAACAAAACACCCATTTTGCTTCACAAATTCAGTGGCAATGTCCTTTTTAAATATGTGTGTGATAAAATTAACAGAAAATAATATTAAATGAACTATCTGAATTTAAATACACAATTGGCTAATTTTGTGTTTTAATACGCAATCATTTGTTTGCTGATTATCAGAGTTCAGAGTAATTGTAGTAAAATTGTGCTAGAACGTATGATTATTGCCGTATGCATATCAAATATTCATATGGTATTGATGTGAACGTTAGGTACAAAAGATAGTTTTATCAAAAGATGAATTAATATAAAATATTTCTAAACTGCTTTTTTTGAATGTTTTATGACACAGTAGAGTTTAATGGTCAGAATAAAAAAAACTAAATACAGTCAAACAAATATTTAAAAAAAAATGTACAAAACGTTTTGTTTTATGATAAAAGGAATTCATAATTTGTTCAAGGTGCAAGTTTTTGTGGTTAAAGGAGGGTACCCCCCTTTAAGGTCTTGTTTTAACCTAAATATTCAAATGTGTAAGCATTGTGATCAACATTTAAAAAATGCTTTGTACTTTTATTCTCCTTTCTTCACTTGTTCTTTATTAAAGCGCAAAAAATTATTGACTGCTTAAACCAGTTTCTAGAAATAGTGTGGAACAAAATGTTTGTCTTGAAAAACTTATTAGTAAAGTGAGTCTTCCGGACTTCGATTTTTTTTTATTAACTCGCAATTAAAAAATTTTCCCGTGGTGTATCAGGATTTATCACTAGAGTATTTCCACATTTTTAAATTTCCTAAACTAGATGTTTACATTGTCACACTGGAAGAAATTCAAGTTGCAACAATAGTAAAGTGTCTCTTTTAAAATTTCAGATTTATAATCCAAGAGCGACTTTTATCATAGTCGTTCCTGAAATAGTTGACACAAAACATTTTTTTTTACAATTATCCAAATATTTCATTTACGACGTGATTTTGTTGGATAAGGAAAGTCTGAGTTTGACGACATATGAACCCTTTAAAAACGAAAACGTTTTTGATGAAAACATTGAACCGAAAATTTTGGCCAGTTGCGAGTCTTTCGACTTATCAATAATGGCTGAAAAAAAGATACCGAAATTGTGGAGAAATACAACAGTTTCAGGAAGGTTTCACGACTTTTTCCCGTTTTTGTATAAAGACGAATCCAAAATAAAAAGAGGTGATTTTTTCCTTTATAAAAAGTTTATTTCCCGAGCTGGTTTTAATAACAACACTTATTTGAAAGTAGATTTTGCCGGTTTTGATCAAAGAAACGGTAGTTATGACGGCACTTTAAGTAATTTTTATTAATTTAATTTAATTTTCAGACTGATAAAACAATTTTAGAAAGTCTCTTCAACCGGAAAGCAACCATACTAATGAGCGTTTACAAGACTCATGAGCAATACAAATACAAATTTGGCAATCAAAAAGAGTTATCAGTTTTCATCAATTATTAAAACCGAGAAATTTATTAATCAGACAAGTCGTTGTGGCATTTTATATTCTGTTTATTGTATTGGTTGTTGCTCTTGGAGTGTTTTTAGCAGAAGTTTTGTGCAAAAATTATATTTCCGATAAAATAAAAAAATAAAACACATAAAACACTGCCTAAAGCGGTTTATTTCTAATTACTCAATAAAACACATTTCATTCAAATCTCGTTTTTTGATCATTATTTCTCCAAAAAACGCCACATACGCTACACCAGTCCCAAAAAACCACAAATAAAACGCTACAGCAATATGCTCAATAGTTAGATCATCCGATTTGATTTTTGCATGTGACTTCAGAACTGCTTCAGCTTTAGATTTGTTTCGTTCAAATAACATTTTTTTAAACCCAAATGCTTGTAATCGACTACTAATATCAAGAAATCTATAATAAAACGGAGTCCCTTTTGACAAATAAATATAGTAATAGACCATTGGTCCTGGTACCATATGGAGCAAAGGTTCCTTGTGTCTCAACTCATAAAATTTGCTCAAAGCGTGTTTAAACTGAGTGGTTCTTGATGTGGTTACAACATCGCGTTTGTAAGCAATCCGGTCAAAAATTTCGTCCTTTTTCTCTTCAAATTCGTGAATTGCACAATTTTGGACGTAATCTTTGTAAGGATCATTGGAGTAAAAATAGGTCATTTTTACGGTATTTATAATATTGCAAGATAATCCGTTATCAACAATATCCTTAAGGGAATTAATCTGTTTCTCGTAAGAAAAACTAGTAAGTGATCGAATCATCTCAGACTTGAACTCAGATGAAATCACCAAAAAAGGCAAAAGTGTTGCTAAAATCATAATTCGAGAACAATTTGTCCTAAGTTTGGTTATCTCACTATTTGCTGATTCCAAAATTAATTGCAAAATGGTCAAAAAAGACGAAATAAAATCCCCCTTTTGCAAAAAACGCCAAGTCGTTGCAAGCAGCACAAGAAAAAATAAAATAACTAACCACAGAAACCCACTAAAAGTAAGAAAAATCGCTTTCCAAAATGGCACACGTCGAGCTTTTGGTACTACCCATGAGTACGCAGCACCCAAATTAAGTGGTACCAAGTCAAAATCTAAAAAAGCAGGCAAGTGTGCTTGTCGAAAGTTCATCAAAATTTGGATCTTGCGATTATAGAGATCCTCTAAAAAACTAAAATATAAAAAATATTTGGAAAAAACTTTACCCACTTAGAACGCCAACGAAACTGCCATTTTGCTTCACAAATTCAGTCGCAGTGTCATTTTTGAGAATCAGTTCATCGGTTTTAAAGCCAGTTTTTGCAATAAAAAACTCATGAAACGTGTATTCGCCGCCTTTTATTGACCCATCTTTAAGATACAAATAAGGGAAAAATTCGTAAAATACTGTTTTTATTGTTGTGTTTCGCCACAATTTTGGCAATTTCGTTTCCCAAATTATTGCTTGGTCAAAAGTGAAATTTTCACAGTTTCCCAAAATTTTTGGCTCAATTTTTTGTGCAAAAATGTCTTCGAAGGTATAAGGATTGTGAGTTATTAAGTTTTGACTTGAAGTTTCAAATACTAACACGTTATAGATAAAATAATCACGTAATTGTGAAAAAATTTCTTCTTCAAATAAGTCAGTCAAAATAATAAATTTAGCTCTCGGGTTATAATTGTCATAACTAACAAGAGACTCTAAAATCTCTATTAAATTATTTTTCACTGTTATCACATACAAGTCCACTTTCCGGATTTCAAAAACTTGCAAATTATCTTTGGATAAATCCTGATAAATGACGGGAAATGGGATTTCAAAATCACAGTTTATTAAATAAATAACTGATTTTGAAAGAATATTTTTTGTGATAATTTTACTAAGACAATGATTTTTATTATTGAAACTTGTGATATTAAACTTCAAATCTTTAGCTTTACTAAAATCAAGTGCAAGAAAGAGCAAAATAAAAATTACACTCATCGTACAAACAATCAATGATCAATAAAATCAAAGTGGCAAAATTTTATTAAGTTACAATAATTAACTTAATGGAAAAATGCTGTTCCAGTAACAACCGTTCATTGGAAATTGATGTAATTTCTCAACATGACCGGCAATAAAAAATACTGTTTCAAACACGAATTTTAAAAAATCAGGTCAAGTTTTAATTTTTATTTATACTCGTTTTCATATTAATGTGCATGTGCATGTGGCAACCATGCAAAAATTCAAACAATCCTAACGTCAATCTTCCCTAAAAATAATTTTTTTCAAATAAATGTGTACCCCAGGTAGCAAAAAATAATTAAAATTAACAAGGTATAATTAACATAGGGTAGGAAATACAGGGTGTTTCACATAACTTTACGAGGCTTGCGCCTAATGTACGCACCCAAATATACAAAAATCACAGAACACTGGATACAAAAAACATACATTTAATTATTTAATTTTTGGAAACCCATGACAGTAGTTGTCAAACTAATCACTGTTTCATTAATAGTCATAAACTGCAGTTTTTCAGAAACAATTATCATTTGTTCTATCCAGAGTCGGCATGAATATGATTCTAGTTTATCTATCCTAATCACTAACCAACTAAAAACGTTGTAATTTTTTAAAGGGTGAACAAATTAGAGAAAATTATTCAATTTTTCAAAATTTGTAATCGAGTTCGTATCGGAATATGTATTATTGATTGCATCTTACAGGCGCAGGCCTCGTAAAATTACGTAGAACACCCTGTATAAAGATTTTTGTCATTATTGATGTGATTAAATTTGTTCTGAATGACATTAATGACACTTTTTGTGTGAATTCGCCTTTAAATTAAAGATGCATTTACAACCTACTTGATGCACATTAATAAATATAAAAAAGAGTTAAGTTTATACAAGAAATGACAAACAAACCGGTGACAAAAACCTGAAATGATGTCTCTTTCTCAAATTGTCGAATTTAAGTTTCAGTTTTGATGGAACAAAAAGCGTGACAGTTTTAATTAATTAAATACAAAATTACAAACCTTATTTTATTTCCACACTAGATTTATGTTTATACAAAATAATTTCAACGACAAAAGCCACAAAACTGCAAGACAGTCCAATATAAAGGACATAAATTCCCATTGAGACATTTTCAAGTGCCAAATTTTTCGACTGAATCTTCTCATTCGACTTCAAAGCACTTGCAATTTTATAATCGACGATTCTTCTAAAATAAGCCGTGAAACCACTCGAATGCATCCGACTCACGACTTGGGTAATTCGATCATGGAGAGGAAACCCCTTTGTCAAATAAATATACAAAAAATCAAACTTGACTTGTTTCCGAATCAGAAAAATTGGAGGTTTTTGGTACCCCATTTGCAGCAGAGTATTAGCAGCAAATTTGAATTTCAAATTTCGCGAAATCGTTGCTGACTTTTCCTCGAGCGCGATTTTAAGAAGAATGTCTTGTTGATCGTCTAAGTCGTCCAATTCGTCGCAATTTGAGACGTATTTGAAGTAGAAATCGCTGACCGATTTGTAGAGAAGCTTCATGTCTTGTGATACATAACACGACAGGTTTTTGGCTATAATATCGTCAAGACTTTTGATTGGATAGTCGTAGAGAACCGTGTTGAATGAGTTCAACATTTCGCTCTTGAAAGTCGTCGAAATGATCAAAAACGAAAACATGGACGAAGCGATGAAAATCCGGTTTGAAATTTTCTTGATTTTTAATACCTTAAAACTGTTGGATTCCGAGAAGAGTTGGTAGTGGGTAAAAAACGAGTAAATTAACCCTCGGCCCTCGATGTAATGCCAAATAATTGTGAGCAAAATCAGGACGAAAAAAATTGACGTCCAGACAAGAGAGTCAATGTCGAGTAAAAAAATTTTCCAGTAGGGTACCTGTCGCCCCCTGGGTACCACCCAATAGAAGTGCGCGGCTAAATCAATCGGCACCAAATCGACCTTCAAGTGGCTACTAGCCTGTAAAGTTTGTAGGTTTCCAATTATGTGAAAATCGCGTCTCTGTAACAAGCCTGGACGATTTGAGTGAACAAATTGTAAAAAAGTACAAACCCAAAAAAATCCACGATTTGCGTTCATCTAACTCTTTAATCACTAAATTAAACTCTAATTTCTCCTTAATCATGCTGAGGACTTTGTAGTTTTCGCCAAGCAAAGTCTGGTTTTCGTAATACAAATAGGGAAAATGTTCGGCAAAAATCGCTCGAACTGTGGTGTTCCTCCACAGTTTTGGTATTTTCTTATCGAAAATTTTTGCAAGAGAATAATTGTGACAACCACCCAGGATGTACGGTTCAGGGTTGATATTCACGTTTTCGCCAACAAATGGGTCGTAAGTGACAATTTCCCGCTCTTGGTCAATTATCACAACTTTGTAGATGAAATACAAAGACAGCGATTTAAAAATTTCAGAAAATTCCCCTGTTTCACGTGAGATAATCACAAATTTGGCTCGCGGGTTTAACATTCCGATTTTTTCCAAAGTGATTAAATGTTTATCAATTTTAGCGGTCAGTGTTATCACAACGATTTTGGGTAATTGGTAAACGAATTTTTTCACCGAATGAGTGCCGTTTTGCCGAATCGATGGTAACGGAATTTGTAAGTCTGGTGAGTCCATTACTAAAATTATATCTCCGGGGTGATAATGATTCTCCAGAATTCTATTAACACAGTCAAGTACGACACCATTGCACCAAAAAATATGAACAAAAGTGAGAAAACAGTGCCACTTCATTCTATTTACCTAAATAAAATAAATCAATTGTGTTTATATTTTTGGATCTGAATCGAAATTATTCTCATAAATATTTTAAAAGCTGTTGTTTGTAGAAAAATCACATACAATTACATATTTCGCTCCAAACTGATAAAACGACAAATTTATGGTATTTTATATGTCTATTAACTTAATTTAAACACCATTATCCTCAATTTGGGTGACTCAAATTTGAAATAAACAAGTTAGATTGATCGAATCGTCTTTAACTTATGACAGTCAAAGATTATTTTAATGTAACAATAAAAAAATTAACGCAATTTGGAACTGCTACATATGTATGAATTTGTAGGACAGAATAAAAATGATAAAAATAATAAAAAAATCAATAAGCCTAATACGGGTAACGTCACAAATAACTTAATTCAAACAATGCTGAATTTTTAACATTTGACATTTTTTAATCATAATTTATTGTAATTGTCATTTATTTTAGCTTTGCTCTTAAAATTTCAATAAAAAAAGTAATAATACTTATAACTATTCCCACTGACCAAGCATAGAAAGCAAATAATATTTTCTCAAATTTAATAACTTCTGAAGAAAATTTTTCAGTCAAGAGCCGCAGACTTGTAATTTCTTTCAGTTCCACATTTCTGATATTCTGAATTATGCCAGCAGAATCCATCCTTTGAACAACAGTGTTAAAACTGTCACACAGAGGGTAACCTTTTGTAAAATATGCATATAAATAATCAGCTTTAATTTGTGGTTTAATAAAATGCATTGAAAATGAATCGTTTGGAAAATAAAGACGGATCATAGTACTAACCACTTCATACTGTAGCGAACCGGTCACGAAAGCTGCACCAACTTCAAAAGCAGCTTTTGCAATCGCAAATTGAACCATTATATCAATATTGTCGTTTAAAGGAAAACAGTTTGAAACTTACTGATTGGAAGAATTATCAAATTGATAAAACTTCTGTATGTCGTAACCGACGAAACATGGTAAATTATTGTTACGAATATGCACTACAAAATATAGGGCGGCGGCATGGGATGTCAGTCACAGTCAGTCATAATTAGTGGAATTGTGAGATCGACGTGAGAAGCGTTTCGTTGAAGATTTGCACTAGATTAAAAAAATGTTATATAATTCTTTTTAATCTAGTGCAAATCTTCAACGAAACGCTTCTCACGTCGATCTCACKATTCCACTAATTATGACTGACTGTGACTGACATCCCATGCCGCCGCCCTATATTTTGTAGTGCATATTCGTAACATTATTTTTAACAATGTCTTGTAGACTATTGAAAGGACACTCGGTTGCATAAGTTGTAAAAGAATCAAGCAACTCACTTTTAATAAGTGTTGAAATTATTACAAAAGCACACAGTGAAAATGTTGTCAAAACTCGAATTGAATTTTTTCGAAAAACTGCCAAATTAATTGCTGATTCAAACAACATTTGATAAGTTTGTATGATCGAAAGCTCAAAATCGTTTGCATCTGTTAGAAAATAACAAAACACACTTAACACAATTAAACAAAAAAGTAATAAAATGAGTGGAAACAACTCAAACTTGGCAAAAAATATTTTCCAAACTTTCTTTTCACTACATTGGGGAACAATCCAGTGACGATCCAGCGTCAAGTAAATTCCAATTAAATCAAACTTTGCAGAAGTGTGAATGTCAAAATGTCGGTAGTTTAGCATTATGTGTCTTTCTTTAAGCTGCAATAAATCTGATCAAAAAGAATTGAAAAACTTCCAAATCTGAATATTACTTAGCATAGCTGTAACAGTGTTTTCGGTTCCGTTTGTGACAGTTAATTCCTCAAAACTTATCTGGAATTGTAATTGTTTTGCTACCACTTCAAAAACCTCGTAAAATTTTCCTTCCAGAGTGTTGTTTAATATCGTGTCCCCGACTGCATCAACGTAAGGAAAATCCTCGACGTATGTGACCAAAACTGTCGTGTTTCTCCACAAAAAATTTAAAGTTTTGTTCAAAATATTTATAGAAAAGTTAAACCAGTCGCATTTTCCTAAATTTGTTGGTTCTATTCCAGTTGCAAGCACATTCTCGTAAATAAAAGGATCGTAAGTGATTAAGTCACCCTCAAGAGTCAGGACAACAACTTTGTAAATAAAATACTTGGCAAGGATTCGGAAAATGTTGGGACTGAAAGGTGCCGTTTGGATTATTATAAAATAGGCTCTGGGATCAAAAAGTTCGTATTCTTGAAGTAAGTCAAAAATCTTTTCAAGTGATTGATTTGTAAGTGTGATAATGTAGATGTTAGGAAGTTGGGTTATCATTTTTGTAAAAAAATTTTTTGATGTGCTTTGATAAATGCAAGGGTATGGGAAATACATGTCTGAATCTAGTAATAATATTGTCCAAGGTGCAACGTAGTACTTTTCCAAAATTTTTTCAACACATTTCGTTGTGGCAAAATTAAAATTAAGTCGATGTTTTGTTGCATAAATCACTGATAGAAGAAATAAAACACTTACTATTTTCGCAAAATACATTCTGACGACGATTTATAATAAAAAATAATTCTAGTTTTAGAAATAATCACTTGTAACTTGAAAACAAGTCGAAAGTTTATAGTGGAAGTGGCTGGTATAAATTAAAAACAGTTATCAAAAAATGCTTTTATTGTAATTTTTCTATTAGCGTTATGAAAAAGTACAACAATAAAATTCACTTTAGCGCATCATAATTATAAAGTAGAAAACAATACACTTAATATAAGAAATAAACTTAATATGCAACAGTAGAAACGCAAAAAACATTTTTTCAAAATTTGTGACTTTCATTTCAGTTTGTTTTCTACAACTTCGATAATAAAAATTACAGAAGCAAAACTTAAGCCAATTAACCACAAGTAGAAGACAAAAGAAATGTTTTCAAGAGTGACATTTTTCGAAAAAAGTTCTCTCCTTCGATTAAGTTTTTGATTAATTTTGTAAAAAGCTTGGTCCCGAAAAAACATGATTAAGCCAGCTGTGTCCATCCTTTGAATAATTAAATTAAAACTGTCGCTCACAGGAAAACCTTTAGTAAAATATGTGAAAACAAAATCAAATTTCACTTGTGCTTTAATAGAATGTCCAACCGTGTGTTCAAAACCTTGTCGAGAGAGATCATTAGAGGCAAATTTAAATTTTAACATTCTACTAATCACTGCAGTGTCTTTATGTGTAGCTATTCGTCTAAAAATAGTCCTATGATCGTCATTTTCGTCAATAGAAACACACTTTAAGACGTATTGACTGTGAATTGAGTCATGAAATTGATAATAATCCTTCATATCATTGCTAACATAACATTTCAAATTATTTTTGATTATATCTTGCAAATTTTTGTAAGGACATTGAGTCACATGTGTGGTAAATGAGTGAAGCAACTCGTTTTTGACAACATTGGAAAGGATCAAAAACCCAAACATCGAAGTCGCTGTCAAAATTCGAGTCGAAATTATACGAATTTTTGAAAAATTTAAAATCACTGACTCGATCAGCATTTGAAAATTTAGCAAAATGGCGTAAACTAAATCATTTCGTTTCGAGATGTAGTACCACATCACACTTAATAAAAAAAGAAAAACTGTAGTAAAAAACAGAGTTGAAAAATCAAACAGGTGGAAAAAAATCTTCCAGACTGGTAGGTAAGAACAATTGGGGGCAAACCAGTAAAAATGCGCCGGTAAATTAATTTGAATTAAATCAAATTTGAAGTAATTATGAACGTTGGAACGCCGATGATTCAGCATCATGTGAGTCTTACCGACCTGTAAAAAATCTAATCAAAGTTGCTAATTGCAATTGAATTGAATTTGTACTTAGTACAGTTTCGGACGTGTCATTTTGAATGCAAAATTCGTTGAGTTTGACTCGGAATTGTAATTTTTTCGTTACGACGGCCAAAATGTCGAAAAATTGACCTTTGAGAACGTTATCTTCCAAAAACACATAAGGATAATGCTGGATATAGGTTGTCAAAACCGTTGTATTTCTCCAGTAGAGTGGCAATGTTTTGTTAAAAATATTTGAGGAAAAATTGAAATTAGTACAATCGCCCAAATTTATGGGTTCCACCCCCGTTGCAAAAGCATCCTCGTTGATAAAGGGGTCGTAAGTAATTAAATCACAGTCGGATGTCACAACTACAACTTTATAGATAAAATGATGTGAAAGAATTTTGTAAATATCAGGACTAAAAAGTGTTAAAATAATTATAAAAATTGCTCTAGAATCAAACATTTCAACTTCTTGAAGTTTGTAAAAAATGTCGTCAAGATTTTTATTTTCTAGTGTGATTATGTATATATTCGGTAATCTATGAGTGACTTTTATAAAATTTTCATTTGAACTATTTTGACAAATGGTGGGATATGCGGGTTTCAGATTTGTATCAACGGTCATTATTGTCCACGGCGGGTTGTAATATTTTGTCAAAATCTTGTAAACACACTTGTGTTGATTTTTCGTCGCACAGATTATCACTGAACATAACAGCAAACGCGTTATTTGTTTGAAAGACATGCTGTTATGATTGAATATGATTTATTTTCGTTGTTGCTTTAAGAATGGAAACATTCATAAAACATTAATTAATGTGTTAAATATTTATATTTCTATCTTTCAAAAACATGTTGTGTAAATAAAGGACAAACATTAAAAAAAAATTAGGTAATCAATTATAACTTGAAAAAAATGTTCAGATTTCAGATAAACATAAATAAAAAATAAAACAATTACTACACCCGGCGTCCTACCATTTCTACAACTGTTTTTTTTAATATAGATTAAAATGTCTTGTAAGTTATAATAATTAAGAAAAATAAACAAATCTGACCCAATCAATTCCTGCCAAATTCGTCATTTTTAGTTTCCAATACATTTTAATAACAATAATAATGGATTAATACTCGTAACAAATGGATGAAAATATATAAAAAAATATATAAAAATTACTTTATTTCACTAGACTATAAAATACTACTTTATCTACTGAAATTAGTTGATAAAAGCACTCTTTAACACTGAGTATAAAATAAAAAAAGTAGATTTTAATTTTACGATCCAATATCAAATAGGTGTTAATGAGCAGATAAGTGAGATAAGGATATTTTGCGACCTGAGAATCAGATGGTTCCAACTAACATTTTTATTAATTTTTAAAATAAATTATTAGTTTTTATTATAATGTTATTATACAAGGTGTTTTGTTAATGGACAAAAAAAACGACAAGTAAAATAAGATACCAGGAAGAATAAAAATATTAAAAAAATTCTATCTGCCAAAAATTTTTGACATTTGACATTTTTTTATGTCTATTGTTACCGATGATCTTGTATAAGTATGTATGTTTTTTTTATAATTATTCAGTAAAGGTACAAAAACTTTGTCAATAAAAGCTACAAATAATTACAATCCAAGATGTAGCTTCTTTGTTACCTCTTCTAACAGTCTGTAGCAAAAAAACATGTAAAACTATAGGTATATTTTTTTAACAGAAATAAATAGTCACAGTGCAAAATTTAATCCCTCTTAACTTCGAAATCTTCAGATAGATTTTTTTTAACATTTTTTTAATGTTCCTGTTATCTTATTTGTCAGTTTTTTTTTGGTCTAATTACAAAACACCCTGTACAAGGTGTAACAAAAAGATAGGGCTAATAAATAACCCCAAATGTAAATTGAGTTAAATCGCTTTATTTTAACCTGAGAAATGTCAGGTGTTACTTTTTGCCCCCCTCATTTTGTGACACCCTGTGTATATTTCTTAGAATTTTTTGTTTTATTTCTTCTATATTTCTACACAAAATCAACTAAAATCTTTATAATATATTTAATTAAATATTAAATAAATGGGTACAAAAACATTAGAAGTATTACTTAAAAAACATCACCACATGAAGATAAATTTCATAATCAAATTTCTAAAATAGAAGTAATCTGGTGTCAAACCTGTTTTCGTTTCATCCCTTGTCAAAAATTCCATTCGAACCATTAGATTCGTAAAAAATGGCCGAAAGTGTTACAATAGTAACACTCAACCAAATGATCGATTTATCGCTAAATTGCAACGAGGTAACCCACTTTTCTCCTCAAAATCCCCCTTAACAACCTCCATTTTAGGGCATTATCAATTTCCAAGTCCTCCACACTTTCCTCCATGTTGTAGTACAACAAATGAAACTACATGATGTCGCAGTTGAATTTAGAGGACCCGATAGTGACAAAATCCAAGCTTTGATCAGTACTGTAAAACCTGGATCGACACATCTCCTCCCAAAATATAACGTAGTGCCTGAAGAAAGCGGCAAATTAAAGAAGAAAAATGGAGGTCAAAAGAAGAAAGCGAGTCTACAAGGCATCATTTCTTGATTTTACTTGAAGTGTTTAATTTGCTTTTGTAGATGTTATAATAGAGAAAGAGCGCCAGAAGCTTGAGGAGAAGAAAGAGAAAGAAATCCGCGTTATTGAAAGACGAAAAGATTCAAAGGAAGATCCAGATTTAAATCCCCTTCCATTAAAATCGCCCCCAGGTGCTCCACGTTGTTGTTCCCTTTATATCCTTTTATATTTCTGTTTAGGTAGTCTTCTGGGAGTTACACCAGCCGATCTCCAGACAGTTGTCGTTGTTGAATCCCAATCAACTCTCCCACAATACACAGTCGCTCTCACTAAAAACACTTTCGACAACCTCCAACGCGACTTGGACACTCTCAAACTCCAACTCAAAGAACTGACCGAACTACCAGCAAATATGGGCTTAATTGAAGCTACAAGATCACAGTCAAGCCCTATTTTGGACATGTTCCAAATCCTCCACTTGACCAAACGTATGGATGCCAACGAAACAGCCCTCGAGAAGATCGGATCCTTAATCGAAGACTTGGTCAAGAGTGACAAAGGCCAGATTCCAACCACCATCATCGAGAAAATCCAAGAAGTGAGAGCCTCAGTTGACGAAAACCAAAAATACCCCACGGAACGGCGAAGAAGCTCCTTGAGCGAAGTCGAAGCCAGACTAACAAATCTGGAAAATGTCGTCAACAATTTAAACGAAAATGTGACGGCTATTGCAACCGGAGTAGGCGAATACAAGCCCCAAGAAGCAATTCTTGAAAAAATCCAATCACCCGAACCCAGCCTGAAACACTCGGACAACGCCAGTATTACCAAAACTGAAACCAGTGTTGTGAAAACTGAAGGAAGTGTTGCCCCTGAAGGCTCATCAGTTAAGACACCATCGCGGAAGAGCACAATCAAGAGTCAAGCCGAACCAGTGAAGATCATGGCGCCACAAGTGGTGTATCAGAGCCAAATTCAAGAGTAAAACTCCATCAAATTTTGTTTTTGTGTCAAAAATGTGTTTCAGTGTCGACTTGGGTGAAATGCCACCGAACCAAGCCCTTCAACTGATCCAAGAAGAGTTTCAAAATTTGAAAAACTGGATGACTGAAAGTATCCAAGAAGTGGATAAATTAAAAGCTTTCGCACCTCCGGCTGCTGGCGAAGTGGATTCACGAGTCGTAGAAAGTAAATTTAACGAATGTAGTAAGAAAATCGCAGAATTGAATAACTTGTACAACACTCAAATCAAACTCCTCAACGAACAGTTTAATAGTGTCCAAAGCGAAATGAATGAAGTTGCCACAAAGCTTGACATTATGTACGATTCCACTCTTGTTTGGTTGTTGTTCAAAATCGAATTTTAGACTCCCTGGAGGTGACTCGACCGGGATTAGTGCCGAAACAACCATGGATTTGGCAAATAAACTCACTCTGCTTGAGAAGGAAATGATTGCAATATCGGAAAAAGCCGAAGAGTTGCAACAAGAGAAAGAACAGCGTGACAAGCAAACCGAGACAATTATGGAACAAATCGACATTTTGAAAATCGTCAAAGCCAATCGTGAAGATTTGGAGGACGCTTTGGGTGAAAAAGCCGACGCTTGCATGATTAATAGAAAAGTGTCTCATGACCAGTTCGATGCTGCTTGTGACGACTTGTACAGAGGCATCGAAGAAGCTTTATCTAAACTAGAGGAACAAGTACGTGCAAAAGTAATAAAAACTTGCTCAAATTTGTTCAAATAGGAGGAAATGTGGCACCAAGCCTTAGATTCCATCCAGAGAGAGGTTGGCAACAAGCTTGACAAAATGGAAGTCGATCCATTACGTGATTTCGTCAATAGTAAACTAAAAGCACTACAAGAGAAGTTCAAGTCTCTGAGTGCACTTAAACGCGAGCAAGAAGCTGCAGGAACAAAGACTAGATTCTTGCGAAACGTCAATTGTATTTCTTGTGATAAGGATGTGATAATGAGGAAGGAAATGGATGTGTCTTTGAAACCCAAAGCTTATGCCATGCCTGCTAATAGAAATATGGCACCATATTTGGCTTATGAATTAGACCAGTTGAGGAAGCAGCAAAAATGGTAAACATTTTTTGAGGTTTGATTGTTTACTCAGTTTTTTTGTTCCAGTGTCCCCAATAGCAAAAACTTGAACTTTATTGAAAGTGCATTGAAGACGCGAGGAAACAAAGAGTAATTTGAGTGGTTTAGATTTATTTTGTGATTTTTTGAGGGTGTTTCAGGAAGAATCATTTGTGTAACCGGTATTGTGGAGGGAGTCATACTGTGACTACTCCGCAACAGAGGGTTACAAGACTTGGACATTTCTTGGAACAGTGGGGACCTGAAATAGCCCCATTGCAAGATGAGTACATTCGAGGGAATGACAATCATGTAAAGTTTCGATTTTTTTTTATATTTCTAACAGATTTTTTTCAGATGTACAAAGCTCGTGATGAGACAGTGTTTACGAAAAAAGGAAGTAAAGTAGAAAGTGGGCCTAAAGGAAATTTAAGGCCAAGCACCGGAGGGGCACCCATGATGGTAGTAAAATTAAATGTTATTTGGTGTAAAATATTTGTTATAGGAGCAAGAAGTACCCCAGCAAGGAAGAAACACTTTCGTAAGTGCTGAGGCTCATAAGATTGTGAGCAAAGAAGGTAATTTCGTGTCTTGTAAATAAAATTTGCTTAACATTTATTATTATTTTTTAGCCGAAGAAGCCGCAAATAGTAAGTATAAAAAATCAGGTGATTGTCCTAATTTCAATCTATAGAAAAAACGCATAATATTGGAGCCACGCATATCGAAGAGGTCAATCAAGCTCCACAACAGGACACACGGACGTCGACTGACCAACGAGGGTCTCATTTACAAGTCAAAATCTCTATTATAGAGGAACCAGTACTTGAGCAGAAATTGTCACAAAAAGGCTCACAGGTGGGGAAATCTGTGTCTCAACTTTCAAATGAACAACAAAGGAAATCACAGAGTGCAGAAGTGAAAACTTCACAACTTTCAACTGAACAACAAAGAAAATCACAAAGTCAGTCTGTGACTGCAGAAGGCAAAACTTCACAACTTTCTAATGAACAACAAAGAAAATCACAAAGTCAATCTGTGACTGCAGAAGGGAAAACTTCGCAACTTTCAAATGAACAACAAAGATCACAAAGTGCTAGCGTGGCACAGAAAGGGTCAGCAGAAGCTGCAGAAAAAGGACAAGAGTAATTTTGAAAGTCTAATGGTTTAAATTCTAGTCAATTCATCTCATTGTGAGCGACTTAAATGAAATAAAAAAAATTTAGTATCCCTTTCTTACTATAAATAAAATAGTGTATTATTCAATGAGTGGGAAAGTTGACCATTTCCAAAGATTAAATTTAGAATACGAGCCAAAAGCGAGTGGAGTAATTCACCTGAGTCGTATGGCCATTTCTTACGAATTTAATATTATTTTTCTAATCTTAAATAATTAATATTTTTTGCACTTGTTTATTACTTAATTTTCTTCACAGTTGAAAACTGAATAACTTTCTCAACTGAAAACGGTTGAGTAAAGTATATGATTAGAAAAAGGTTAGTCTGGGTTGTAAAGACAAAAAATAAAAAACTGCTTAATTGAAAGTATTTATTTTTGTAAAGCTAAACAATTAGCTCAATCTTCTTCTTCTTCGCCTCCGCCGCCGCCTCCAGCGCCTTTACGGAGGTTCTTCCTCTTCACACGTCCTGGACGTCCGCCACCGAAGGGCGATTTCAACGAGAAATCAATGTGTTTCTGCGAGTCCAATCTCACAATAAACGATGGAATGTTCACCACCTGTTTACGAACCCTGTAAACAACAAAATAATTAGAACACGTTTACCAAAGTTGTGTTTAAAAACTGTCGCCTCGCAAGGTACCCAAATGCACTATAAGAGTGCAAATGGGGCATAAGCTGGTGTCATTCCTCTTCGAGTTTCTTTAGCACTTGTATGAACATTGTAGGTCCATCAAGTGACTCTAGACTCGGTGTTGAATAAAAAATTACCTGCCTTATCGGCACATGAAATTTCAAGGCGTTAGTTATTCAACTAAGTGGCCTTTGTGAACGACTTAATTACCGGATATGTCTCTGTCTGATCAAAACGCGGGCATGATGGATGGACTTGGCAAGACCCAGTTTGAAAACTTGAGTTTGGAGCCGCCTTTCCAAGAAATCTTCGATTTTGAGACCCAACACGTAATCGAGTTTCATGCGGTTTTCGTCTAAGACTCCGATACGAACAAGACGACGCAACAATGCGTTACCTAAGACACACAAATGCATTAACACTTTGCAAAAGCATAAAGTAGAAAAAACAAAAAAATGTATCCCTAACTTTCGGCACAGACATGTTCATAGTGAACAAGTCTGCTTCCTAGCGGGATTTACTCTGCCCTTACTAAGATAAATCTGGCACTCTTGATTGACATAAAGATCAAACAGAGCGTGGCGTCAGGGCCCCAATCCCAACATTCCTCACCTTCAAACAACCTTTTTGGGTCCTTTTCTTCCAGTGTGAGCAATTCACGAGCGGCTTTACGAATTTTAGCCAAAGTGTACTTCACACGCCACACTTCACGTTTATTCCTGAGACCATATTCACCAATGATCTTCAATTCTTGATCCAAACGTGCCTTTTCATAAGGACGTCTTGGAGTCACGTAAGTCTTTGAGCAGACCGTGGGAATCCTCCCGTTCACCATTTTGGTACTGACGAGCCGTTACTGAAAATCAAGTATGTTTAAGACTTGGCCCACGTGGCTTACATAAACTCGTTTTTTTCAAGAAATTGTTACCTCGCCATGAATCAGATAAGTAACTGTACTTTCTGGGATTAAACGAGGTTTCAATTTTGCCTTAATTGATTAGGGGTTGTTGGAGGGGAATCACAACACCCCTTGCCCAAAAAGTAAGGCTATGACACTTTATCTCAGAAAATCCTCCCAATCGATGAATTTAATTTAGAAAAAACTAGACAAATAACTTGTACAGTGGTTAAATATTCAGAAAAAAGTTGTATTTTTTGTAATTTAGCTACAATTACGGAAAAATTACGTAAAAGTTTACTCACCCAACTCGTCGCAAAAAATGAACGATCCGAAAAGAAAGTTTTCTCGTTTGCCGGTGTTGGCGCTGTAAGCGGTAAAATGGTGGGGAAAGGTCATTCAGGCTACAGGACGTTGTATTTAACTTGTTCAAATAAAAATACTTTAAATATTGACAATAGGAATAAATAAAACCAAGTGATTGACCAAAACTGACGCAAGTAATGCGATAATCCACAAACACATAAATTTGTAATACCCATTAAGTGAATACAAAAAGTCGATCAAATGATTGGACGTATCGTCTAATACTCAAACAAAAATAACGCTAAAAACTGTAATACCTACTGTACTGAGACATAATAATTATGAAAATTGCTTATAATGCAAATTTTGCGAATGGTTTATTTAAATTTTAACCATATTTTGGCTCAATATTTCACAATAGTAAAATTTTGGTACCGATACTGTTATGTTAACATAAAGTAAAAATTTAAATCATTAACAAAAAAAGCAAAACTGTAATTAAATAAATGTTTTTTATCATAAATAAATAAAAATTACAATAAATTAATGTTATTTTGTTATTTTTCCTTCTTCATGAAACCAAACCTCCTCTTGATCACTTTTTATTTTAATTTTTACTAAAAAATAGTATTTGTACAACAATGCAAAAGTGTAATTAGTAAAATTATTTTCAATAAATGTATAAATGGAAAACAAGGGTAATAAATAATATTTTGTTGTGTTGTTCCCCTTCCATGTGAGCAGACCTCCTCTTGACTATTTATTTACGTCGTGTTCGCCTTGTCAAGTTGACAAGTTCGATCCCAGCCAAGCTAAAATATTCCCTTCCTTTCACTTTTCTTCATTTAAAAATAATCAAACGTCGCATTTGTTCTATTTTGCTTGTACCATGTAGTACCCCAAGCACTCCCGCTATGATTATAACGCGTGTCGTCCAAAATTCAAGCGTCCAGAGCCTTTTTCGAAGGTTGTCCGTGTCAAATGGAGATTTGCATATTTCAAACAACTTTCACGCTACTGCTTCCACACTTCCCAGATTACTCGACTACGAGAAAAAACCAACATTGAAACCACGAGTAAGGTAAGTGCGTTTTTACGTTTCAAAATTTGGTTACGCCGACTCCGGCACGTCTAATCTAACCTTGTCCTCGCTCTTAGATAATTAAATAAACATGTCCTTCCGGTATTGAGATGCGTTATGATGTAGGTCAATGTCATTGGGCCGAAAAGTCGACAATATCCTCGTTAGAACAATGTCAAACGAAGCAAACACCTCAAGTTCGCCCAAAACAAACCGTCTGGCGTTGGAAAAGTCCCCGTATTTGCTACAACACGCCACCAACCCCGTCGATTGGTATCCCTGGGGACAAGAGGCCTTCGAGCGCGCCAAAAAAGAAAACAAATTGATTTTCCTCTCAGTAGGCTATTCCACCTGTCACTGGTAATTTTTTATTGGTTGCTCACCCTGTCTCATTTTACTTGACAGGTGTCACGTGATGGAGAAAGAGTCCTTTGAGAATGAAGAAGTTGCAAAAATCATGAACCAACACTTTGTCAATGTTAAAGTGGACCGTGAGGAGCGCCCCGATGTTGATAAACTTTATATGGCTTTTATTCAGGCTAGTGTTGGGGGTGGGGGTTGGCCAATGTCGGTGTTTCTCACCCCCACGCTTGAACCTCTAGCGGGTGGTACGTACTTCCCCCCCGAAGACAGGTATGGCCGACCAGGCTTCAAAAGTGTCTTAAAATCAATCGCCGAACAGTGGCGTACCAAACAAACGGCGATCGCCAACTCGGGGAAGTACTCACTTGAAGTTTTGCGTAAAGTAAGCCAACGGGAGATTTCTTCCAAGCAGGATATCAATGTTCCTGGTGAAGATGTCTGGAAGAAGTGTCTTCTCCAGTTGTCACACTCGTACGAAGACGATTTTGGGGGATTTTCAGCCCAGCCGAAATTCCCCCAACCTTGCAATTTCAATTTTTTGTTTCACATGTATGCGAGAGATAAACACTCGGAACAGGGGTTTAGATGCCTCCATATGTGTTTACAAACGCTTAGGAAAATGGCATATGGGGGGATTCATGACCATGTCAATTGTGGGTTTGCAAGGTATTCGGTGGATGACCGATGGCATGTCCCCCATTTTGAGAAAATGCTCTACGATCAGGCCCAATTGGCCGTTTCGTATGCCGATGCGTTTGTGGTTACAAAAGATGATTTTTTCGCTGAAGTTCTCCGAGATATCCTCTTGTATGTTTCGAGGGATTTGAGTCATCCGCTAGGGGGGTTTTATGGAGCGGAAGATGCCGATTCATACCCTTATAAAGGTGCCCCCCATAAGCGCGAGGGTGCGTTTTGTGTGTGGGAGTACGATGAAATTTGTAAACATCTCGGAGAGACTAAAACAAAAAATATATCGCATTGCGATTTATTCATTTATCACTACAATGTCAAAAAAGACGGAAATGTTAATCCAGCACAAGACCCACATCATGAATTGGAGAAGAAGAACGTTTTGGTTTGTTTCGGGTCGTTTGAAGACACTTCGAGAAACTTTAAGACGTCAGTTGAAACGGTTAAAGAAATTTTGAACAAGTGTCATGAAATCTTGTATAAGGAGAGACAAAAAAAGCCTAAACCGCACGTGGATACTAAAATCGTAACCTCCTGGAACGGTTTAATGATCTCCGGATTTGCCAAAGCCGGTTTTGTTCTTAAAGATCAAGAGTACATAAATCGGGCCATCTTGGCTGCCACTTTTATTAAAAAGTTTCTCTACAACGAGCATGAGAAGACTTTGTTGAGGTGTTGCTATAAGGGAGACAGTTCGAAAATCGTACAAACGTAAGTCTAGTATCTTGATTTTTTTAAAATAATTATTGATGAAGGACAAATTTTTTTATGAAAAAATTATCGTGTTAACAGTGAGGTTTTTTAATTTTTGTTTGTTTTTCTCCTTTAATTTTTTTTTAAATGCCATATTCATATTTGTATTCTGATAGATGTAACTTCTAAATTCGAAGTTGTACAAGTCGGTGATCAACATTTTTAATTCATCAATCATGAAATAAATCGGGTAAAAATTGCCATTTATTTAGGTAATTTTTTATTTAGTTTTTGTTAAAAAATGAACAGATTGCCTTCTAAAAGAAATAAATATTGCAGAACTCGTAAAATGTGTCGTAAAAAATTGAAAAAACTAGAGTGTTTCATATTTTTTTGGTGTTGCCAACTGATTTTTATACAGGCCAACTCCGGTGTGCGGTTTCCTCGACGACTACGCCTTCTTGATCCGCGGTTTGCTCGACTTGTACGAGGCATCTCTCGATGCTGATTGGTTATCATGGGCGGAAGTGCTCCAAGAGCAACAAGATCGCCTCTTTTGGGACACTAAAGGTTCCGGTTATTTCACAAGTCCTGAGAACGACTCGAGTATATTGATTCGAGGCAAGGAAGGTAAAACTTTCCTAGATGGCGTTACTTGCTCTATATGGGGGAGTTTTCAGATCAAGACGGCGCTGAACCTTGCGGTAATTCTGTTGCCGTTCACAATTTAATCCGCCTCTCCGCCTACTTGGACCGGGCGGATTTGAGGGCAAAGGCCGGTCGGACGTTGACAGTCTTCGCCGATCGGTTGAAATCGATTCCGGTGGCTTTGCCGGAAATGACATCAGCGTTGCTCTTCTATCATAATTCACCAACTCAGGTGAGTGGTTTAGGTTTGGAGGTGAGTTACTAGGTTTGTGTAGGTTTTTATAGCCGGACCGACGGAGGATAACAACACTCAAGCGTTGCTAGATGTGGTCAGGTCTAGGTTTATACCTGGGAGGATTTTAGCGGTGACTGATGGACCAGGAGGGAGGGCCGGTTTGCTTTACCGCCGACATGAATCCTTGGCTAGGCTTAGGCCGATCCACGGCAAACCGGCAGCTTATGTTTGCCGGAATTTTGCGTGCTCGTTGCCGGTTACCGATCCGGAGGATTTGGCGAGTAACCTGGATGGGAATTTGAGCGAAATCCCCGGCACGAGCGATGATGAGTAAATTTTTAGTTGGTTAAATAAACAAGCGACCTGTAATGGCAGAAAAATTCTTGCAAGGCTTCAAGCCTATAAAACCCTAGTCATAAGTTTCCCGATGTGTGATAATTGTAAAATGCGGATGTGATACAAGGTTGTTTGAATGAATTTGTGGCTATTGTAAATATTTTCTTTGAAATAAATTGGCAATTGAAGATGGATTAGTTTAACTGTCCCTTTTTCCTATTTTACCCGTTATGTAGATACCTAACCTGTCGATTGTTTATGTTACCGAAACGCTGTGCAGGTTTCTTGTGTAAATATTTTGACTGAATTAATTTGCAAGAAGTGTGTATTCGTGTGCGCCCGACCAAATATTAAGGCGATGCTGCAAACACACACGGTTTGTCTACAAAGCAAATACTAAGACTATGTTCTGAGATACAAGAATTAAAAATTAAACAGTTCATCTCCCCAATATTGGACTAAAAACGAGGGTCGATGGGATTTAAGCTTGGAGAGAAAGTTTATTTTGAAAGCCAATTTTTTCCGAGTTAAAGCTTGTCGACTGATGTCAACCGTCGTCCGATTTTTTCAATTACGACTTAAACAAGATTTAAAAAAATAAATCGTCTGGTGTACCAAACAATTACCTGTCGCTGTTAACAATCTAGTAACATGCAGGAAATGAGCTGGTTACAGGTTAATTTAAATCCTGAAACGTGATAGGGGCACTGTAATTAACTCCTCAACATCAAACGTTTAACCAACAATGACAAAAGTCGTAATAATTTGGCAAACTCTTCGACTTTGGACGTGATTTATAGCTGAAAAAACGCCCTGGGTATTAAATTTTCAGCAGAGATAAGTCGAGAGTCGCATCTTGGCGAAACGAATGGAAGTCCTAAATTAAAAGAAACGGTTTTCTATAAAAGATTCACTTTTTTGACAAATTATCATTCGATTCGTGGTGAAATTTATAGCGTAAAAACCCTTTGGATGCAAATAACGAAAAGCAGACTTTATTTCCCTGTTTTCATTGTTTACGAACTTTGAAGTTGGGTAAAGGAGTTTTACGACTCGGATTTGGTGTCAGCAATTGACTGTTGCACTATTTCACCGCCGACGTAAAACCGAAAGTGTTCTCCCCGAGCTGTCGTCTTTATCCACAAATGGGTCGATTATTGCCAGCGGGTGAAAGCTCCCTTTCTGATTATTAATCACTGAAGCGGCTATAACTGTCGCAAGATGAAACACTGCTCTTATTTTTTCAGCTATGAAAATTCATAAATTAAGTCAGTCTTTGTCGTTGCATTTTCTGCTCGAGTGTTTCATAAACAACGTTGTAAAATTCGCTTCGTTTCAAATGTATGGTAATGAGAAAAATGAAACTGGAATTCATGAAGAATATGACTTTATTGTTCGGGGGCTTTCAGCTTTATCGCAGACGGTTGAATTTTCCCGACTTGAAAATGGGAATAAGAATTGCTGCTTATTGCACCTTTTTAACGAAACATAAACTTAAAAAATGATTTTGTGACGTAAAACAGGGAATTGAGCGTTTCCTCAAGATGATAAACCACGTCGAATCATCATTTTTATGAAAATGTTCAAATTTATGCCCATTTTTGATTTCTGTCGTTAAATTCTCAACTGCGATGAAGTGAATAGTTTTGCCCTTTACATTTTTTTAGTTGTTTATAGGATAGGACATGTTTGTAAATTTGGGAATTTTTGTATTGATTTCTTTGACACTAATTTTAAAGCCAGTTGATAGGTATTTGAAGTATTTTGAAAAAAATAACTGTAATATCTTCTCAAAATTTATTAGTTATCTTAATGTTATTAAGGTTGTTGAATTTTAGTGTAAATCGGTGATATACACGGTGATCAAAAAATTACGGATAACCTCGATGATGCATTGTTGAAAAAACTTTGGGGAGTCCGTGAAAAATGTTATTATTATTTTTTTTTGAGTTATGATGAATTATGAATTTTACTAAGCTGGCAACGTTGTAATGTAGCACCAAATATAATAATTTCTGTTTCCCCAGACACCAAAACAAAATGACATTATTTATTTTTACTAAAAATATGTAAGATATCCAATGTTGTCAGATATAATTTTAGGTAAAATACACCTAACTTTTTTTAAATAAAAAATTACTTGTCTAAGCCTTACACAATAGTAGCTATTTATGCAAAAGAAGTTGCAAAATGAGCGTGTTTTTCACTAGGCGTGCAAAAACAGCCATTTTGCATCGTGTTTCATACAAGATTTTTTCCAATTTGGTTGTGAAAAGGAAAAGCATAGGCATCAAATTCGAATTTTAAATTTATGATTTAAATTTATAATTTTCCAGAATCATATACTAGTGTCGGGACGTTGCTATGAAAATAGTGTTATTTTTTTAGCTATTTAACACTAGTGAAAAAATAATGTTATATTTTATAACTATAGTGATAAAATTAAGCACATTTGACAACTAAAATGACATATATTACAATGGTTGCTTTTCACAACCAAATTGGAAAAACACATTTTTACTGTTGTTGATTACATAATTTTTTAATTATTTTTTTGTAATTTTTTAGAAAATTTACCATAAGAAACCAACGAGCTTATCCGTGATTTTTTGATCACCGTGTATATACACATTTTTAATTTATCAATCTTGAAATAACTTGGTTCATTTATCTTTTTTTTACTATTAAAGTATAATAATTATTAGCATATTATGTTATTAGGAGTAAAAGTGATAGTTTATGTGGCGAAGCTGAATGTTTATAATTTAATAATTTAACTATCCACTTTTACTCTAAATAACATGTACTATTTTATTCCCAAAAGTATTCAGAGCAACACTATAATTAGCAAGTAAATGAACAAAATAATTTAAGGAAATAATGAAATCATAACAACGCTTATAAATAAACATCCTGCATCAGTATTAGAATTTGTGTTTATAAATTTAACTAATGCAGTTGGTAGTACAAAATTTCGAAGGGTGATGATTTACAAAGCACTTCTCCAGAAGTTGCTGAAGCAGCGAAAGGGACAACATTGGTAAACGTCATGGTAAAAGTAAAAACGCTAAAGCGCAAAAATAGAAATTTTCCTCCATGGCTGAAAGGTTTACTTGTGATATTTAGTCATAAAAGTGGTCACTTTTTTGTGGATGAACAAGTTTTTTGAAGACACTTTAATGATTTGATATGTACTAACTCAATCTAAGAAAATGTTGAAATTTAATGTTGTTTGATTCAAAAGTTCAGACGTTGTATTCTTAAACACGAAAAAGTGTATAATATTGGTTTGTAACACTTTTATAATTTTCTTTTGAATTATTTTTAAATTAATTTTTTTTACATAAGAATATGTAACTTATATTCAACCATTTTATATTTAAAGTAGCGACAACAAGGAAACAGCATAAAAATATATTTTTTTAAATAAATATATAAAAAACTTTAAACTTATTTTTTCTATAAATGGATGAGCACTCCTTTGAAAAAATTAAATTTTAATAATCTCAATTATTATACATGAATATTTGAAAATAAGGTTTTTTTATTTGTGCAAGCTTTTGATAGCTTTTTACATATTTATTTTTTCTTATTTCATTGATAAGCACTCCTTTGAAAAAATTAAATTTTAATAATCTCAATTATTATACATGAATATTTGAAAATAAGGTTTTTTTATTTGTGCAAGCTTTTGATAGCTTTTTACATATTTATTTTTTCTTATTTCATAACATGTATGTACAAGGTGCGCCAGAACTCGTGCACCAGAGAAAAATTTCAAGTAAGATAAGATACCAGGAACATGGAAGAATGTTAAAAAAATTCTATCTGTCAAAAAATTTTGATATTTGGTATCTTATCTTATATTGCATTTTTCTCTGGAGCGCGAGTTCTGGCGCACCTGTATTGACATTAAAAAAAATATTGCATAACTCGAAAACACAAATAAAATTGTCTTGAAACGCAATATTGCCCTTTTTTGTAGTACCAATTATTTTATACTCAATCTATGAAAATGTCTAATTTAATGTCTGTTTGTTTGATTTTTCAAACAGAAAGAGCAGAAGTATTGGTTCTTAATATTTTTAATTTTTTTCGGCACATTTTTGAATTCGAAAGTTTTTTTAATTATTTTATCAAAGCCAAGCATTCTTTTAGAAAGTCTTTTAGAGAAGCTTATGAAACATATTGTTTTTTTGTTTGCTGTTTGGTTAATTTTTTAACTAAAATTCCGAAATAAATGATTGCAATACTTTTCGATCTTTTATAGCCCAACCATGTTCGCACACCTGCCCTATATTTCGTCATTTCCAATTCCCCATTGTTTAGAATCTCCTCCAACACTGCTCCAATAAAACCCATTAAATCTCCCATCTGGCAATGTTATAGTTTACGCTTATTTTACGACATCAATCCTCGCATCAAAACCTTACAAATTTGCAACCTCCAAAAAACACAATCTGGCTAGTTTTTGTCCCGCGATAACCCCTATCCTGATAAAACCATCGCAAACATTCGAATCATTTTCATCCATATGCCCCATATTGACATGCGTACTCTACCAAGTCATGCTGGACGCTGTTGCATCTTTAGTCACCCTCCGACAGCAGCACGTCGCGGCGCGAAATCTCGAAAACTCGTTGGAAAAAATCCCCGTTTTCCCACTACCATCACCGAGAAAAACTTAAGTTTCAGGCGGCTGAAAACCTTTCAGCGATGTTTCACACAGTCGGGGCAAAGAGTGGCGGACTTGCAGTGATAAAAAAGAAAGTGATGTGGTGATAAAGGCGGAAAAGTGCAACTAAAATGCACTATTATGCCGGAACTGGTTATGCCCATTGCCGGTCTGGATCCGACTCTGGACTCCATCGCAGGAATTTCCGGAGGGAGCAAGAGCCCTTCGACAGTGGCGAGTCCACGCTCTCGGAACTCGATGGTGGGTATTAAAACGCTATTTTTAAAATGTTTGCAAATGTTTATACACAACCTGGCATAAACGCTCGCGATTTTAGCAAATTTATTATTATTTAATATCAGAGAGAAGCTGTTTACCTTAATTTGTCCCGGATTCGGCCATTTTTCATGTCTGATTATTTTACTTCGAATTATGAAAATCGAAATTAGACCTAAGTACACCCTCGGAAAATTTCAGGTCTGTTTCTGTAATTTACGGGTCATAAAATCCCATCTCAGCCGCAAAAACATTGATTTACTGGGCTTTAACCCAAGTGTTGGAATTTTTAAACAGAAATAAAAATTGTATATTTTCCGTAATTACGAAGGGTTGAAACTGATCCGGTTAATAAAAAAATTGGAAAAACAGTTGAGATATTCCAACTGACAACCTGTGACAAATATGAAATGTTTTGGAGCGTTGCCAATTGGGGAAAGAAATTTTTATAATCACCTATATGGCCGAGAATGGCTCACTAGTAACGAAAACAGTTTTTAATTTATTGCCAAATTACCAGGAATTTTAAAGCTTTAATTTTTTCCTTGCCACAAACAGGCCTCAAAATATTAACAAAATTCAAGATATAAAATTTCTTCTGAGGTATTTTTTGACTATTTTGTTATTTCAATCCGACTCAAAATCAACATTTTTTAAAATGAAATATTTTCTTTATAAGTTGAAGAACAAATTATTAATTTAAAAATTCTTCATCATCAGAAATAATGTTCGTTGTTAATTATTATTTTTTTCTGTGAATGAAAACAATTCCAGCGTTCTAATTAAAAATTTCGGTTTACGAGCAGTGATGAAAAATTTCCCTTCAAGACATACACTTGAAAGCTTTAAATAATTCCACAGTGCATAAAAGAGTACGAAATAAAATGAGACTAAGAAACATAATCAATACTTTATCTTTCTTAACATTCTTCTCAGCTATGCACTATCGAATTACAGTTGAATCCCCGATTATGTGATAAAGACATTTTACATTTTGTATGATTAATTTTCAAACAGTGATCTAAATAAAGTCCCTCTCAATCGTTAATTCAATCCAGTACAGACTAAATTTAATCAAAAAAGAAGCTCTGACAGGGCGTTTGAATGCCGATGCCAGTGCGAATGAATGATTTACAGCAAATATCAGGTCGAATAAACACGGTTTATTTTTAATGCTAAGTTTAAAATAAAACAAGCCGAAGAACGAATTTCTCACTTTTAATTGCATTTAAATTTTTAATAAACAAAACGAACGAATCATTTGATCCAGAGACAAGGATTATTCAAATTAAAACATGTTCCAACAAATTTGAAAACTCGAAGTAATTAATTAAACTTGGACAATTATGCAAATGCAATTATTGCTTCGAGTGACACTTTACATAAAAATTAATCAACAGATGAAGCAAACTTTAATTTACTCCCATTCACAAATATTTGATTCAGTTATCTTTCTCTTGTTTATCACAAACAGTAACACAAATTATTTGAGATTACCATCAAGCCAATAAATAATAAAACACCGCTTGACATTTCTAGTGATTAAAAATTAATTTTTTCCCCACGTTTGTAATTATTTTGAGGAGCTATTCGTATTTATTATTCTCATAGAAGCCGTATTACCTATCCGTTGAAATTTAATATCGGCATTAAGCTGTAATTAGTGAAGTGTGCAACCCGTAACAATTACTAATCCCCAACTTTAGGCTTGCATAAAGTAGTCTAACCATATATTCGTAGGGAAACAAAATGCTTTTATTATCCGAGTAAAATTACAATAAAGTTTATGGTAGCGGTTTAATAATGGTTAAAAGCTCTCCAATTTCGTTTGAATAAAAGACACAAGAAATTAATGTTTTCGCAAGAAATGAAAATTATTGTTGTTTGTGTCGTGGATCTAATATTACATCGTAAAATACATATTTTCCATTGTAATTTGAATTTCAAATTTTGTTTGCGACTTAAGCTCCGATGTTGCACGAAAGATTATCAGCGGACGATTTATTTTACATTAAGATTAGAGGATTGAATTAGCCAAAACTCGACAGCGAGATTAATAAAGCGAAATTGCCGATAACTGATAACAGCAATCATGGTTATGGACAGAACTTTTTGAGTGCCTAATTACCAAGTCACAATTTTGGAGAGAAAATTGCATTTTTTTTGTTTCTTTTTATGTTCAAATGCTTTAGAGAATTTCAGTCATTTCCAGTTCTGTTAAAATATTTTCTCAGTCATGTGCTGTCTCGTTAAACTTTCACACACATGTAAATTCAGCATAGCTCATTTATGTTTGGCATCCTTACACTAAAAGCGACCTTCCTGCCATGTGAATAGACTCAGCCATTTCAGAAAACTTACAAAAGGATCAATGATCGTCGTGCTGGTGATTTGTTAGGACCGATAACGTCCCTGCCTTGGATGTTATCGTAAGTGACGAAAGTTTCAAACTTTCAAACTCCGAACTGCTCAAATAGCCACACGATAACAAAATAACTTTCTATGTACGATTTAAATTTGAGAAAATCTGAGTTTTTATGAAAACAAAGTATCGCGTAGAGTTGAGACATCAAAAGGAAATAATCCATTTCCGAATGGCCTAGGCGCTAAGGCCTTAGCTTGTTTCCTTTTCTCTGTTTCGTCTTCCATCATAAGGCTATTTATGGCAGCAATATTAATGGAAAAAGTCGAAATCGAATGAAACATTGAGTTTTGTTTAAGTCTGTCAGATACGCTCCACCAAACGGAAAATTAAATATTGATTCCTCAAAGACGGAGCGGATTAATTAATTGGTCCCATTATTTGTTGTCAAAACAGCCAGAGCAGCGTGGTACAGGGATATCGAGCCTAGTGAATCTGATACGTAGGGGAGAGTCGCCCAAATTGGACTACCTGGATTTTTTATGCAATTTTTTGCTTGTGTTTTCACAACATTTACGTTCAAACTATTAAAATAATAATTATTAATCACAAGACGCAAAAAATTCAATTTTCAAACTCCGATCACGACAAAATTATACAGGGTGTAACGAAAAGATGAGGATAAAGAGTAACCTTAGATTTCCCAGGTCCAAAAAACCGATTTTTTCTACTTTGCGCGTTCGTACAAAGGCCAGTACAAAACGGTTTTGCCATAAAAACAGTGCTATAAAAATTATACTACAAAGAGGCAAATTTAGTCTTATAATGTTGGCGACCTCACCGTTTCTCTATCGAAATGTCAGTGTCAATCGGCCTAACGCAAATCAAATTAATCAAATACGAAATTTTGCTGTGTTTGGTTTAATTAATCATTATGATTATAGTGACACCTTCGGAATTCATTTTACGTATAAACTAATGATGTTCCAAATTATTTTTTTTCATGTCAACTGCTGCAAAATTCCCTACATTCCGAAACCTTATTTCTATGTTTAAGAAAAAAGTGCAAAGTAGAAGAAATACTGTATATCTCGTTTATAAGGACACTTACTTCTTTATAAAAAAAAATCCGTGCGTGCGACAAAATGCTTCTTATAAAACTCGTATAGTAAAATTCAGGAGGGAAGTTCGGTGCGTCACCAATTTCATTTTTTCATTACCAACTTAAAAGTGAAACAAAAAATTCTATCACAATCTAAATTGAAACAATTAAAGGGTCTCTAAGGATGGTAGCCTTGAACATTAATATGCACTTCAACTACAACACTTAAATGTCATGTTCGAGTGAATTTGTCTATTGGCATTGACAGTAACATTATTGTCGTCGTATAAAGACTTTTTGGTATAATTTGCAAATAATTTTCGTTTATTGGTTGATTTCATGCTTTTGTTCTGCGTTTCATTGGGTTATTTTAATAATTCCTTACGATTAAGTAACTTCCATGAAATTAGGCATAAATGCACTTGTGTTAGTGTAAAAAATTGGAATAATGAGGTGTCACCGATAAAAATTAGCCCCCTATCATCTTTTATTTATTCTACAAAAAATGCGGCCAATCTTGTAAAAACCATTCAAATGCTTTTTTAGTACTTTACATATTGTGTCTGCTATGGCACAAACTACACTCTGTAAATAAAATTGTGATTGAGATATTTGAGGTAAATATGAGCGTTGTTTAAGAAGTTCATTATTTAATTAAGTAATTAACAGTACAAACTGAAATCGACTCATTATTGTGACTCTCACATAAGTAACTTTATGGTTTTCATAAGATCACAATAAAAGCTTCTTAACGTTTATTGTTTGTTTTCGAAGGATGTAAGATGCAACTTTGTTTTGTAGACGTCTTGAATTTCAACTTTTTCTTTTTTCTTACCTGAAAGAATGCATAAGATCGTTTATGCTTTTAAACCAAACAAATTTATTTTGTTTTATTATTATTGTAAAATATACATGTTAAGCCATATTTTTGTTATACATAATCCTAGTGGCGAAATTTTTTTTTATCCGCAAACGGCAGAAAAATGACACTTTTATGACTAAATGACACAGGTAAAAGTTTTACTATTCAGACATGGAGTAAAAACACTGTTTTTACGCCTAGGCTTTTTTACTTTTGCTTGACACTTACTTTGACATTTACCAATGTTGTCTCCTTCTTGTCTCTTTCGCATTTCAGCATTTTCTCAAGAGGTACAAGGTAGATTATCAGCATTCGACATTACTTGATTATTGGTGTGTTGCTCTTTCCTCTCCATCTGAATCGTTTGCGGATAAAATAGTATATGTTATTTGGAGTAAAAATGAGTTTATGTGGCTCAGCTTCGCCACATAAACAATCACTTTTACTCCCAATAACATAATCTACTATTATTTGAAAGGTACATTATTTTTAAACAATTTTATATCTCACAAAATTGTTGTATCAGCCTTGGTTTTAGAGTAAAAAATAATTTAAGCAGACGTGTCAAAATTTCGGACGTAGGCCATTTATTATCATTGTTTTTCAATAAATTGTATTAAATGTTTTTTAGCTTTTTAATTTCTTTATGTATGTTTGAGTTAGTTAACAATAATGTAATTAATTATTAATTTAAACAAAAAAATCATACTTTCATTGGCATCCTATAACTTTTAATTGTGCAACTTGATGTAGAGGTATAGTCGTCACCAGGAATATTGAGATTGTCGTAGGCAAACCTTTATTGAGGATTAAGCAGCCTTGTGGTCGGCCGTAATAATTTTTCACTGTTGGTGGTACTATACCCTGAAGATTTACAAAAGAGCCGTCTTCAGGATTTTTCGTGGTAGGCTTTTAATTTATTACAGGCAAACATTTGGGAATGTATATATTAATTTAATATTAATGTGATAATGCAGATTTGTAAAGAAACAATCTCAAAATATAGCTGAATATTAAAATTAATTTCATTTTTTTTTTATGAAAGCCCAAAAACAAATTTCTGTTACGGACCATCTCTTCCTACAAACCTTTGAAACGTGCCTGTCCTAAGAAATGCAAATTTGTTTATGGCATCTCTACCGCAAGCCCCATGAACCACCGTGGGGGGTAATCGTTATATTCTATAATGAGTCTCAAATATTGTTGGTACCAACTATAAGTTGGATTAAATCGCTTTATACACTTGGGGAATCTCAGGTTACTCTTTGTGCCCATATTTTTGTTACACCCTGTATATCAAAATTGATAGTTTGGACCACCCGTAAAATGTTCTGAGGAGTCGATTGGTGTCGAGAAAATTGCAAAATTCTTAATATTTTAGAAGTTATAGTCGAATTAGATTTTGACTAGTTTTGTTTTTACTACAGATTTTCAATAACTATTTGTTACAGGAATTTTTTTATCAGATAGAAAAAATACAAACAAGTTATCGATAATAGACACGTAAATGCAAAATTTTAATAGGAGTTTGAAATTTTTTTTTTTCGAGATGCCACTTCTAAGAGAAACGATGAAATTGTCAACCCTTCATTTTGTATCTTTCAAACTATTTTTATATGAATCAAGTCTCAAAAGTTAGTGCAATGTCTGCCAACATAACTTTTTGGCAGAAAAAGGCGTGAGTTAGAGCTCCAGACTGCAATTGATGAAACAATTATTGCACAAGTGCCCACTCAGTAGATTGTTTGAAAATCGCTAAATACACTGAACAGAGTTTATTCAAGCCGTTCATTACTCATCCTCTGTATGCTTATTATGTCAAACAACTGGATGTTATAGCCGATGCAAAATTACTCCAGAAAATTTGATTTACAACGAAGGTTTTAGTGCAAATAAAGTGTCTAAAAATATACGGTACCGACCTGGAATTTATTCTCGCACCTGTATGATATTTTAATCTTTGGAGTAAATAAATTGATTTATCGGATTTTGGTGCTGTTTGTGCGTTACTAACTCAGTTTCCTCCTGTTCCAGAGTCGGAGTCAGGGTCAGGATCGGGGATTGAAGTCGACCCCAATCTTCCGTACCCGGGAATAGCGCCGATTGCTTTGAGATATCTGTCACAGACCACGAGGCCGAGGAGTTGGTGTCTGGCACTCATCTCCAACCCATATCCTTTTCATAATTCGCTATAATTATCTAGAATTACACAAAAACGAGGTAGGAGTTGCGAATATTCGGATCCGTTTAATATGCAAAGGTGACGTTCCGGTTGGTTACTAACGCAGTGTATTAATATCCCTTGACCTTAAATATGGAGTAATTTCCCTCGAGCTTCAATTATTAAACATGGTAACATCCGACGCAACAACGAAAGGAAATGTTTTACTTCAACTTGGCACAAATCCAAGAAATTTAATGGCTAGTTTATTACCATGTCGTGCTTTTGCGACAAATTTCCTCACAAAATTTGATAAAAAAAATCAAAAATTCGGTTCCTGTTTATTCAACCTGGCCAAGGAAACGGGAAATACTTTTCGATCATAAAATATAAACAAAAAAATGAAAAGTTTATACAGACTTGTAAAAAAGTGGGTTAAAGATTCAGGAAAATACACAATTTTGTTTAATTTAGGATAATTTGACAAGCTACCAATTACCCAAATTTAAACAGCGAGGATCATTAGGTACAGCTGAATCTCAGAAGCTGAAAAAAGTTTAATTCTTGCGTTGTAGACATTTCATTAATTCTTCAGCTTTAAAATTCGCGTAAATTCCAAGCATCCACTTGATAAATCATCGTCAAAAAAATATATAACGTGGGCGAATCAAAAATACTAACCCGTGGCGCCAGTAAATCGCCATTAAAAAATCTCCAACTTATGAAATGTTTGAGTGGTGGCACGTGCAATCTTCAATTAAAATCGTATTTTTACGCCTGTGAAACTTCGTTTTAATTGTTTGGAGGCAAGTGGGCGTCTTTCAACGAAACTGTAAAGCTAAAAATTCGGCGATTTTTGTTTATGTGGTTTAGCAAAAAGCGATTATTTGCGCTTTCCGTGGCAAGCATCCAGACTTGTAGCTTCCGAATTTTATTCAAGGGTCTTTCCTATTATTTTTATTGTGGCGTCATTTCGTCTCAAACAACTAGAGATAAAGCTTGGGAAATAATAAATAATTAAAAATACTTGTTGCAGTACTAATCGATGCGCTCGTATTAGCATTCAACATGGGTCGACGAGCCACAACTGACCTTTCGCAAAAAACGCTGTACATTTTGCAAAGGGATTATACGTAACAACGTAAACCCGCTCTACTAACGTTGCAAATTTATGACCAGAATGATTAAAATATCATGCTAGACTTTCCAAATATGGATTTATGGCAGTTTTTACCAAGCGTTCGTAGTATTTTGCCTCTAAGAGTAATATCTCAAATGGGATATTTGGGCATAAAATTAATGAAGGTGATTTATTATCCATCCGGCTAAAATATTAATTGAATTGTTCCTTGTTTACCCGGTTGCAAGCTTAAATACTTTGGACAAGACTAATTAACCGCACAACTAAAAAAGGAGGGGAAGTACCGGATATACCTAAGTAATGAAAACTGAATTTTAATTAGTTTTTTCTAATTCGTTGGCTACGATTATCAAACCTGAACATTTAATAAATATGTAGTAAGTTTTACAATATGAGTAAAGAGGTCAAAAATTAAACAGACTAATTATATTTTATAAGCAGTGTTGCCACCAGCAAATTCACCAGATCCGAGTTGAAAAATTTACCAAATTTTCAATAGATCGCGATTTGTATGTCAAAATCTCGCAAAAACGCAGTTTTTGGTCTAATTCTGTGATTTTTCGGCTTGTTTTTAACAAAATTTTAGGCAATAATTGCGTTTTTAGCTGAAGAACGTACTAAAGCGATAAAAAAAATACAAAAATAATATGATTTTAAACTTAATTTCAGTTTTAGCGAAATCTAGCGAATAACCTGAGATTTTAGAAAACGTGCTGAAAAGCATTTTCGGCCTAATTTTGTAGTTTCTCATTTTATTTTTGTCTTAATTTTGTTTAAAAAAAAACAGTTTAAAAAAAACAATCGAGTGAAACAAAGTAACATCAATATCAATCCTTTTTTGTGATTTTTAGGCGTGTTTGGACAAGATTTTATAAATGAACCTCCGGTTCAAAAACGAAGTAAGTCGGGCGAAACAAGCTAAAAAAAAACTTTTTGTGTTTTTATCCCTCAAAAATATTTTTAAACACTCGAAAAAGACAAAAACGCCGTTTTTGGGCTATTTTGTTGAATTTCTGACAAAATTTTGCAAAATGATGTTTCTAGCTGAAAAAGCATTCGAAAAAAACAAAATAAGTTGTCATTTTTGACTCTGTTTAGTAATATTTTGTAAAAAACAAATAGAGCTATTTTTAACCAATTTGGTAGTTTTCGATTATTTTTTCTTCGAGAAAATTTGACGAAATAATCAAGTTAAAGCCTAAGAGTTTTTTTTATAACAATTTAGTGAGTTTTTGGTTTAAAAATCTGCTTGAACTTTCGAAAAAAGAAAAAATTATGTCATTTTCGGTCTAATTCTGGATTTTTGGCTTGTTTTTAACCGATTTTACAAAATAATTGCACTTCTAGCTGAAAAGCTAGAAGAAATGCAAGACTAATGTAATTTTCGACTTAATATGTTGATTTTTCAGTTCGTTTTAGCGTAATCTCGCACAAAAACCTGAGCTTGTAGAACACAAACGGGCCTAAAAACAGCCTTATTTTTGTCTTATTTTGCTCAAAAACCAGTTAAATCGAGTGAAACAAACAAAATAACTTCAATATCAATTGGTTTTTGTGGTTTTTAAGTGTTTGCTTATGATTTTGAAAAGAAATGAGCCTCTGTTCAAAAAGTAAGTAAGTCGAGCGAAACAAGCTAAAAATAAAATCAATTTCTATTAATTTTGTAATTTTTTTGCTTGCTTCAACAAAATTTTTAAAAATTTCATTGTTTTTATCTCAAAAACATGCTTAAACACTTGAAAAGGGCAAAAATAACTCTGTTTTTGTTCGAATTTGTTGAATTTGTAGATTGTTTTTAACGAAATTTTGTCAAATAATTATGTATCTAGCTGAAAAAGTATTCGAAAAATACAAAAAAATGTCTTTTTTGATCCTGTCTAGTAAAATCGTGTAAAAAAAACAAACAGATTTATAACTTTGGTGGTTTTTTAACTTTTTTGAAAAAAATTAAAATAATTAAAGTGATAATGAAACTCTTATTGATTGCTCTATTTTTAGTCGGTTGGAATAATTTCACTATCAAATTGGCACTACTTTTAAGCTAGGTACTCACAAGTGAAAATTGCATCGAGGTGTTCAAAAAAATTAAAATAATTAAGTTTCTGATTGAAAACGTAGAAAATGCTCGAAAAACTGTTTTTTTTGTTTCTAAATTTTTACAAAAGTTTTCACCAAATCACCATACTAACATGAAAATCACCAGATCTGGTGAAATTTCACCACACCTGGCAATATTATTTATAAGATTATTTTTTAATTTTATTCATCAAACCATTCCTGAGGTGAATTTTTGAAAAATTACGTTAGATTTTTTTTCCAATTTCAATAATTTTGCGAAAATAGGCGAAAATAGTTTTTTTCATAATTAATGTTATCAATACCTTCTTTTCATAGAAGATAAAAATTTGAAACGATATTACGAGTATTATACGATTTGCAAGTTCCAAGAATAAACTGTCATTAAAAAAAATATTTTACTCGTATTCAAAAACTACAAAAATTTATTGTTGTGTTTTATTTTTCGGCCCCAGGCTGCCACTCAAGTTTAAAAACCGCAGGATTTACTCGCTTTTAGTTCATTCACTCATCTCTCACACAGTTTCAATTAAGCGAAAACAGCTGATGTGCAAAATCACAAATATATCATCCCTGATGCAAATACAGCGATCTAAATTAATCGCCGGGGATGTTTATACCAAAATGCATATCTCTTTGTGTAGTTACAAGGATATGTAACCGGATCCTGAGCCGGAATTTATAGAATGGAAACGACGTTCTGAGCATCTGTCGACAAACAAACAACACGTTTCTCTGTCGTAAATCAAGTCAAGCTTTTCGGAATTGTTTTAATCGAGAATTTTTTTCTATCGAATTTCTGATGCTTCATCGAGTTTCACTGTTTTTTTTTTGTGAAAGTTGCAGCCTTGCAGATTAAGTTTTGTTTGTGTAATGAAATATAGAGCGAGATTCTTGTAAAAAATGATTTTTTTTTGAGTGTGTTAGTAGATTGAGTGGGCTTTTGATCGCCACCCTTCATCTTTTCTATTTTGGAGAGTTCTTAAACCCCTTTGAAGCCGCATCTGTTTCACTTACCCCTAGTCTATTTCCGTCCAGATCCGACCAGCGTTCTCGACATTTTCATTAAAACACCTAAAAACTTTTTCAATTATTATGCTGTCAACGGTTGAAACAATGGGCGGTTTTCCTGAATGGTTTCGGTGTCGACAGCCCTACTTGTTGAACGCCCTCCTATTTTGTGCCGCTCACGAAGAGATTATTTATTATAACCCGGAATTATGTTGTGTTCCGGGATTACCAGCGCCATATGCCGGAACGAAACGTGTCACAAGGATATATTAACTTTCGGAGGACATATTATGTTGGGCGATAACGACACTTCAATTGCCTGTTGTGATTTTGACAACGAGATTTAGCGGATTATGCTAATCGGAAATGAAACGACACAAAAAGATAAAGCGCTGAGGCGAAAAGCGACCAGAAAGGGCCCTAAAAGTTATCTCAAATTGCACCAAAACTAATACAAATTCTTTTAAAACATTAAGAAATATTTTTTCTTGTCAAATCCGAAATTAAATTCCCAAAAATAACATCACCAAGTTATTTAACGAATTATTTTTCTATAAAAATACTCACATTGTGAATTATTTATTGAAGACTGATTCAAAATTTTAATACGAAATTTGGATCTTTCTAGTGACAGTGATAATCACTAGAAAATTCGTTTATATTTTAGTATTTTGAACGGCTTGTTACAATAAAGATGATGATCATACAAAGTGAATCAAGTTTTATCTGCACCCTCTAAGACAGCTCTTTCTAATTCAACAAAATTATGCAACGCATATATTAAAAAGTTTTACTCTATGACTTTATTAATTTATCATTAAATTTAAAAAACCGATTTCACGAAAAAGTTTCTGTCAGTTTTGTAAAGTCTGTTCTTTTTTTTAAAATGGAAATGCCAAACAGTCTTAACGTTGGCACCATTAGTAAATTCATTCATGGTAATTTTAATAAAAGAAGTTGCAGTTCCGGTTTTTTGAATTAATTTGAAAACAATGTCATAAAACGTCAACACGAAAAATCACCAAAAAAAATCGTCTAAGAAAATTTAGAGATGAAACACCGAAAAAGAAACAAATTCGGTACTGGTAACAGTTTTTAGAAATTTGGAAACGAATAGTTTGCAAGCAGGAAGTTAGAAAAAGGACCCGTTAAAATGTAGACGCAATTTGTAATGCAGTTTTTCTAAACATTAATTTAATGTTTATTTAATTTTCAGCAAGAAATTGACAAGAATACAAAATAAACATGAATGAGGAAGAACCTCGGAAAGAACAATGTCTTGTGCATCGTTTTTGAGGAACGAGTTGTAAAAGTAACAATTTTGAAACTAAAACCGAAGAAGAATTTATAAAATGCATCAACTTTAAGCACATTTCAATAAATTTCACAAAATTTATTGGCGATCTTCATAAACCTTGCTTGTATCTTTTGCTAAATAACTTTTTCTATATACATCCTTTTTTTTCAAAGTTTTTGTAGCAAGATCCTCATTTTTGTCCACAACAGTGTACTTACTTGCGGTGTGCTTCTATCAAAATTATTAGCACTGAATTCTGTCTTTAGACCTTAGGTAATGATGCCTGTCCTCAGGTATTCAATTATAGCGCTTTCAAAGAGCAAACAGGCACACAAGATTCATAAAAGTCAAAATTTTGACAACATCTCAATTTGAACACATAACCATAATTTTTTAACAAAATTTCTAGGGACAAAAACAAAGAGCAAACAAAATTTGTGACTATGGAAACAAGCTGCTACCAATTTTTTCACCAAAATTTTGACTTGGTAATTTCCATTAAAAAAAAACAAACTTTACATCAACTGATTAAAAATTCGTAACAAAAGAACTCAAAATCTTAATAACTCAAGAAAATTTACAATTGAGAGTCGCGAGCCTATTTTATGACAAGTACTACTTTGGGAAATTACCAAAGAGGGTTTAAGCTAGTTGAGGTTCCACTGTCGATAATGAAGACGGTCTTCATTAACTTAGTTGGCCTCAATTCGCTAATAAAAGGTGTAAAAATTTTAATAATTTTAAATAAAATAACTTCATATTTCTTTATTTTTTTCTTTATTCAACACATTTTAACTTATAATTGAAAATAAGTAAAAATGGTTCAAAATAATTGGCGTCGCTCAAATTAACATTAACGCCTTTCAAAATCTACAAACACAAACATTTACGACATAAAATTAATTTATTTAAATGTACGATATAAAAACATACCTCTTCTATCTAAAGCAACACACAAAACAGAACTCCAAACCACAACCCCTATTAGAATTTTCGCCAAAGTCGTTTTTTTTAAAAACATTTTCGCAAATATCATTTCTCTTCGTATTCTACAAGAACAAGTTGAAAATGTTTATTGTATCCAGACCTTCTTTTCCCCGCTTATATAGGAATCGATTTCGTAAATGTTACTTGTTTACATCATAATTGTTATGATAATAGTAATGGTAATACTCTTATTATCATTAAAACTGTATAATAATTATTCCACTATCTTTTAATTAGAGCCGTAAAAGCTTCAAATGTACGTAACAAAGCCCACTATCAAAAAAATCTATGTATACAGAGTGCGCCAGAACTCGCACCCCAGAGAAAAATGCCATATGAGGTAAGATACCAGGAACATGGAAAAAATGTTAAAAAAAAATATCTATATAAATTTTAAAGTTTGTACTTTGACTCTATTTATTTCCGTTGAAAAAATAATTTTCCAAGTTTTTTTGCTACAAAGAGGAAATAAGGATGCTATAACCTTAATTGTAGGTAACTCTGTTTAATGTTATTTGTGGCTTTTATTGACAAAATTTTTCTACCTTTACTAAATAATTATAAAACAAACATTTAAAAGATTATACTATAAAAAATGTTAAATGTCAAAAAATAAATCTCAACATTTTTTGACAGATAGAATTTTTTAAACATTTTTTTCATGTTCCTGGTATCTTAGCTTACTTGAAGTTCTGGCGCAGTCTGTATAAATTTGAACTAAAATCTAACTATTTTGAGCTGAATTGAGGGATTATTTAGCTTTTGTAGCAACATAAACTGTTAAGAACAGTAACACAGAAGTAGTTAACGCTTATAAACGTGTTAAATAATAATAATTAACAAATTATGCAACTTAATATCCAACTTTACAATTCGATTTGCGCAGCAACGTCCATTAAAATATTTCATTAAAGCAAAAACTAATTAAGCTAATTATAAATTTGCATCGAAACTTGTGAATGGCCATCATGTATTTTGGGAATGTTAACACAGGCTGTCATATAAAATGTGTATTGCAAAAACTGGTTCATTCATCGTCGTGCTGCGTGGGTGTCTCGGACAGCAAAATAATTACAATTTGATTTTGAATTCTGTAAAAGTTTTGTGGAAACTGAATAATGTGATAAGAGCACTTGAAAAACTTGGAGATTACAATACGGAATTAGGAGACGGTAAAAATCTCTAGCCGGGAGATTTAATAAACATCCAGCCATCCATATTAAAAGCGGAAGTCGGTGGTTGCCGCTATATTAACATCAAAAAGCAATTCGAGGAAGCACAAAGCTAAAAGATCCGGAATGAGCTTAAGGCAATAGTGGGCTCCGGGGCCAGGTACACCCGGAAAGGACGAAGGTAATTGAAAATTGAGGTCACGGCCGTCTGCACTTGTTGACTCTCCGCCAGTTTTCACTGAATAATCACGAAAAATTTTCGAAACAGTGCATTAATAAAAGATGCTGTGGAATCTGCGGATACATTAAAATTTCAGCACGTTTCATCAAAATCGGGCCCGGCTTAATGGAATATTTGCAAATTTGAATATTATTTAATGGAGGTCAGTCCTCGACATAATGGATGCATTTTTCAACCAAATAGGCATTTTCCCAAATTAAAACCCTACAATGTTGAGTATTTAATTGCCATCGTAACGGTTCAAAACCGACTCCCTTTCAAGCCATAAACATCAATCTCGGATTCTTGAGATTTTGCGTCACCGAAAATTATTTCGGAAGGATTCCGGCTGCTATTCATGATCCAATTAAGTACAAATGGGTACATTTTGTTACTTCGGAAAAGAAATTTCCTTGTCTCGTTGTTTCTTCGACTCTCTGTTGGCATTATAAAAGTCTCCGGTCTTCGAAGGTGAGCAGGAGGGCTTTTTTGCTATATCTCGAAAACAGTGCTTGTTGCAAAAATTGGTTTGTAGAAGAATGAAGCTTATAAAATTTCCTACAACACTGTCTATTCTGGTTTTTTGTTACTCATTGAATTTTCAAAATGTTCGCTGATACGTACGGCACTTACAAAAACAATTTTTTGGTCCCACTTTGCCTTGTAGTGCCTAAATTCTAAGTTTACAGCAAAAGTGCACAGAACGTTTTTTATAAAATTTGTGTATTTATTTATAGTTTGTTTAACTGAAGATACGTAATGGCTTTTTAATAGTCAGAAAATATGAAGACGGTTTTCATTAACTCAACAAATTGGTTTAAATTGGCCTAACAAAAAGTTTTATTTATCTTTATTCAACACATTTTAACTTATAATAACTAAATATAAATAAATATGGCCAAATAATTGGCTTCACTTAAATTAACATCAACGCTCTGCAACACCTACAAAAAACAAACATTTACGACATAAAAATTAAATTATTTAAATGTAAGATATGAAAACATACTTTTTCTATCTAAAGCAACATACAAAACAGAACTCCAAACCACAACCCCTATTAGGATTTTCAGTATTTTCACTTATAATTACACGAGAGCTTTTTTTTTCGAAGTAAACTTGACATTTTAATCAGAATTTTGTTCTCTCTCGTCCTACGGACTCGTAATTTTTTCAGAAGCAGTTTTTTTCGTTAAATTGCCTAAAGGAAACAAAACTCGAATTAAAAATGTCAAGTTTTCTTCGTAAAAAAAAGCTTGAGTGTAATTCGGTAAGACAATTTAATAAATACGTAAATCTCTAAATTAACAAATAAGATGTAAATTAGTTTATTTAATTTAATGGAAAGTATTAAAGTATTAGATTCACACTCTTTCAAAAGTTTTTGCGAATATTATTTCTCTTCGTGTTCTAGAAGAACAAGTTGAAAATGTTTATTATATCGAGATCTTTTCCCCACCTATATAGAAATCGATCTCGTAAATGTTACTTGTTGCTAAGTTTACACAAAAGATGGTTGTATGTGTCAAATATTTGCACGAAATTCTTAAATGGTTATAATTTGTGTTTAATTAAAAATACAATACAATTATATTCATGTGCCTGTCACTTTTTCATCTGTGCACTTTTGCCATAATCTTAAGATTTAAGAGGAAAAAATGTTTCAAACTGTTCCAGATACAAAAAAAATAAAAAGATTGTCTTTTTGTTCTAAACAGAGTTACAATTTAGGATACAACTTCCTTGTTTACTCTTCTAATAGCCTGTAGCAAAAAAATATTTTTACAACAGAAATATATAGAGTCAAAGTGCAAAATTCAAACTTTCATAACTTCGGAATTTTTAAAGATAAATTTTTTCAACATTTTTTACATGTTCCTGGTATCTTACCTTATAGGTATGTCATTTTTTTCTGGGGCGCGAGTTCGGGCGCACCCTGTATACATAGATTTTTTTGATAGTGGGCTTTATTACGTACATCTGAAGCTTTTACGGCCCTAATTAAAAGATAGTGAAATAATTATTATACAGTTTTAATGATAATAAAAGTATTACCATTACTATTATCATAACAATTATGATGTAAACAAGTAACATTTACGAAATCGATTCCTATATAAGCGGGGAAAAGAAGGTCTGAATGCAATAAACATTTTCAACTTGTTCTTGCAGAATACGAAGAGAAATGATATTTGCGAAAATGTTTTTAAAAAAATCGACTTTGGTGAAAATCCTAATGGGGGTTGTGGTTTGGAGTTCTGTTTTGTGTGTTGCTTTAGATAGAAGAGGTATGTTTTTATATCTTAAATTTAAATAATTTAATTTTTATGTCGTAAATGTTTTTGTTTGTAGGTGTTGGAAGGCGTTGATGTTAATTTGAATGACGCCAATTATTTTGCACCATTTTTACTTATTTTCAATTATAAGTTAAAATGTGTTGAATAAAGAAATTAATTTAAGAAATTTAAAATTATTAAAATTTTTACACCTGTTATTAGCGAATTGAGGCCAATTAAGTTAATGAAGACCGTCTTCATTATCGACAGTGGAACCTCAACTAGCTTAAACCCTCTTTGGTAATTTCCCAAAAGACCCAATCCTCTTTTGCAAAATCAGTCACACGACCCAAATGAGATAATTGTCGAAAATTGAAACCGTCGCATCGTTCGCAACGGAAATCAAAGAAATTTAATTAGAGTTAGCAAATCGGCAGAAAAAATTCCATTTGCGATCGATTAGAAACGAGCTGGAATTCATAAACAAGTGGCGAGGAACCCAATTCTGACTCCGTTTACAAGTACATACATTTCGTTAGCATATACAAAAAGCTGCTAATATACACGAAAAGTAAACAAACACAGCTCCAACTCATATCTACTTCGTCTCAGAGCTTCAATTCGCGTTATTTTTACACACATCCGCCTCCACGATCTTAACCTTAACTCGCTTCGGGAAACTTCATTTATTTAAAACGAACTTGACCCCATGATTTAGTAATCCCCTACATAAAACATTGTACCAAGATGGTATATATGCATACCGAGTCCTGAAAAAGACCGAAGCGGCCTGAATGTTAATGAAATTAATCCAACAACGCTTTCCCCACTTAGACAAAGCCAATTTCTACAATTTTTAAAACGGAACACGACGCTTTAATGCTAATCGAGTTTGCATAATAGCCGAGGAGACGGCGGGAATTGCGTGCCGATTGGCGGTTAAAGCAACAACCAAAAGTGGAGAGTTCACTGGGCATTTCGGGCCGCAGAGGTGAAGCCATCCGCACGAATTGCTCACACATCAATGGAGAATTCGAACAGAATTCAACAAAAAAATTAGGAACTGTAATTTTAAAAAGTGGAGTAAAGTCTGTTTTTTCTTTAAATGGAAATTACCAAGTCAAAATTTTGGTGAAAAAATTGGTAAAGTCTGTTTTTTTTTTAATGGAAATTACCAAGTGAAAAAATTGGTAGCAGCTTGTCTCCATAGCCACAAATTTTGTTTGCTCTTTGTATTTGTTCCTAGAAATTTTGTTAAAAAATTATGGTTATGTGTTCAAATTGAGATGTTGTCAAAATTTTGACTTTTATGAATCTTGTGTGCCTGTTTGCTCTTTGAAAGCGCTATAATTGAATACCTGAGGACAGACATCATTACCTAAGGTCTAAAGACAGAATTCAGTGCTAATAATTTTGACAGAAACACATCGCAAGTAAGTACAGTGTTGTGGACAAAAATGAGATTCTTACTACAAAAACTTTGAAGAAAAAGGATGCATATACAGAAAAAAGTTATTTAGCAAAAGATACAAGTAGGTATTATGATGATTGGTAATAAATTTTGTGTAATTTATTGAAATGAGCTCAAAGTTGATGCATTTTATAAATTTTTATTCAGCTTTAGTTTCAAAATTGTTGCTTTTTCAACTCGTTCCTTAAAAACGATGCACAAGACACTAATTTAATTGTGTTCTTTCGGTGGTTCTTTCTCATTCATGTTTATTTTGTATTCTTGTCAATTTTTTGCTAAAAATTGAGAATGTTTAGCAAACCTTCATTACAAATGGCGTCTACATTTTAACGGGCCCTTTTTCTAACTTCCTGCTTGCGAACTATTCGTTTCCAAATTTCTAAAAATTGTTAGCGGTACCGAATTTGTGCCTTTTTTGGTGTTTCGTCTCTAAATTTTCTTAGACGATTTTTTGTGTTCACGTTTAATGACATTGTTTTCAAATTAATTCAAAAAACCGGAACTGCCAACTTCCTTTATTAAAATTACCACGAATGAAACTAGTGGTGCCAACGTTAAGACTGTTTGGCATTTCCATTTAAAAAACACAGACTTTACGTATTTAAAATTGCATCAAATTTTATTAAGAACAAAATTCTCGAAAACATAAATTTTGTTTTGTTCGAAAACGTGGTAATCAGAATTTCTTTGCTTGCTTGCAAATTAAATAACTTTCCAAGTCCATTTTTGATCAAAAACGTGTCAAGTCTAGTGTGAATTTAATCAATTATTTGGCTCTTTGGCTCGAATTACGCCCAAGCTCGGGCGAACATCAAAATAATTTTAATTAAGACCGAAAATACCCAATTGATTTTTTCCCGTCGTTGTCTTAATTAAACTTTTTCCAATCTTTGTCAAAAATATTCGATTTTCAACTCCGTTTCGGGTGGCTCGAATGGTGATTGATGTCCGGAAAGGTGTATCATCCAAACCATCTGTTGATATCTATCACATGTTGAATAATTCAGAGCAATTTCTCAATTGGGAGAGAATAATGTCGGGTTTTTGACGATAAAGTGGTAAAACAGGGAGAGTTTGGGTGTTTAATGAGGGTTCACGCATTCTTTTAAACTAACAACGGTGCAGTTTGATAATTAAATTAACCGCATTGCTTGGAGTGAAAAATCGAAATGATGTTTGGTTTTCGCAAGGCCGGGACAAAAATTTCAATCACAACTGTAGTGAAAGGAAAATAAACAAAATGTAATAGTAATTAACTCACAAATTGCATCAGTTTAATGCCACAGTGATCGACAAGCGTCATTGATGGTTGTTTACTACTAAAACAATGTTTTTGGTTTAGATTTCAGACGATTTTTCACGTACGGTCAAATATTTTCACGTTATTAATGTTTTTCCATCGCAAAGAAAGCACAAGTTAAAATCAATGAATTATTAAATTGTTTGTTTGGATGTAGTGGATGAATTTTGTAATTTACAATGATAGGTTCACCCTCTGTAACATTAATTACAGGTCGGGCGAGCGAACATCGATACTTCCACCCTTTAATTACAAATTGATGCTACAAAAGAGATTTTTAGTGAAGCATCTTTGTTACAGTTTTTTGTCCCCGGAAAAGTCCGGTCGATGTCATAATATTTTAAGCAAGCATTAAAACTGGCAGAAAGCTTTTAGTGTAAAATTACAGCAATCAATCTCGCCTCGTATCACGTTTCATCAGTGTTATTTTAAACAATTGGCGAGTATCGTAGACGAGTGCGTCGCCGATAAGGCGCTTAATCAATTGCTACCCCAACAAAAACGACCTGTTATCAGTACAGGAGCAACAGGGTCGGCCGTTGAGCGCCAGTCTGGATGCTGGAACGACGGCCAGGTAATATTGATCCAGGCTGCGAACTCACCTGCCTAGCGCTGCGTCCTATATATAGACGTATTAAACATACATGTGGACGCCTACGAGGGGCAAATTTACGCCGATTCGGTCCTGGAAGCGAATTTCACGAATTTTCCGACTGCCGGAGAAAAGTTTAAATTCGATTTTTGGAAAGAGTGTCTCACGAGTATTTCTATCATAAAGTTACATTTACAAGTAACTAAAATAAATGGAATTTTGTGCGAAATTGTGGATTGTTTGAATGATTAAAATTGAGAAATTACACAAACACGAAAATGCCTGGAATCTCACGAAAAAACAGAGAATTTTAATTTGTTCTGTTTACCATTCTCTGATAAAAAAAAGTCAACAAAACGACAAAGTGATAGACGGTTGAGTTTGTGGCAATTATTGAATTTTTCAATTTATGCATAAGTGCCTCTCAGAGTTAATCAAATTGAAAATTGAAACTGCCAAGTGAATTCATAATTGGTTCTAGTTTTTAGTTTTTATCGTTTGTTAATGTTTATTATTTTTGCAATAATAAAATCTAAATAAAATTCAGTTCTATCGCAAAAATTTTCATTGTTTGATGTTTGTTACTGTTAAAAATAGTACAACTCAAAAAATTATTATTTTCTAGCATTTTAGTTTCCACCAAGCAAATATTGATGGTGTAATGATTATTATATCATGTTTTCAATAAAAGGGAGGAAAAGCTGAATTGTTAAATATTTCATATAATCTAACTTTTTGTAATAGGTTTTGTTGCGCACATCTCAAAGTTTACGGCCCTCATTAATAGATAGTGCAATAATTATGGAACAATTTTAATGATAATAAGAGTCTTCATTATTTTTATTATCATAACATTATCATAACAACAAATGCCTTTTAACAAGAATTTCTATAAAAGCGAGGAAATAAAGGTCTAGTAAACATTCTTAACTTGGTCTTAAAGAACAGGAAGAGAAATTATATTCGCGCAAAATTAAAAATAAAAATCGATTTTGGTGAAAATCGTAATGGCGGTTGTTGTTTGGAGTTATGTTTTTCATGTAGCTTCTGCAAATCCAGCTGACAAATGATGCTGACATGATTTACATGAGAAATTGAACTATGAATGATGAAAAAATTTTATACAAGATAGAAGTTATGAAGTTATAGTACTTAGAAAGGTTTGCTGATTTCTATTGTTGTGTTATTTCTGTATTTCTTAGTTGCATTGTTACAAACAGATCAGTACCCCGATGAAGAAAAATGTTTATATTATACTTAGATAATATTAGTAAAAAATTTAACCTTGAAAAATTAAAATGGCAAAAATGAATTTGAAAAAATGTTAAAGCAAAATGGTAAAATTTAAAACATAAAAAAATTACAATATCTTTAAACAAAAAATGTTTATCATCATCTGATAAAAAAATCAACAAAATGACAAAGTAATAGACGGTTGACTTTGTGGCAATTAATTAAAATTTTCAATTTATGCATAAGTGCTTCCCATAGTTAATCAAATTGAAAAATTGAAACTGACCAAGTGAATTCAAAATTGGTTCTAGTTTTTAATTTTTATTGTTTATTAATTTTTCTTATTTTTACTCATTGTTTTAAATATAAAGTACATTGCAGTTGTATGATTTGAATAAAATCTAAGTAAAATTCAGTTTTATCGCAAAAATTTTTATTGTCTGATGATTGTTGCTGTTAAAAATAGTACAACTCAAAAAATCATTATTTTCTAGCATTTTAGGTTTCACCAAGCAAATATTGATGGTGTAATAATTATTATAAGTATCATGTATTCAATAAAAGGGAGGAAAAGTTGAATTGTTAAATATTATATAATCTAACTAAGGTTTTCGGCCTTCATTAATAGATAGTGTAATAATTATAATTATAAACAAAGTGTAATAATTATGGAACAATTTTAATGGTAATAGGAGTCTTCATTATTATTGTCATAACAATTATGTTTGGCAACATATCAACTAATGCCTTTCAACAAGAATTTCTATAAAAGCGAGGAAATAAAGGTCTACTAAACATTCTTAACTTGGATTTGAAGTACAAGAAGAGAAATTATATTCGCGCAAAATGTTTAAAAAAAAATCGATTTTGGTGAAAATCCTAATGGAGTTATGTTTTTCATGTAGCTTCTGCAGTTCCCGTTAACAAAAAAATTATAATAATAGTTTATTAATTTTTATATCTTATTTTTTTCTGTTTCTAGGGGGAGAGAGGCAGTAGGTGGGGACGAAGAAAATTTTTTGCATTATACCTAATATTTACTTATGTTTAGGTATGTGTCTTGAATAAAGAAATAAAAAAAAATATTTTATTATTTTTCAAGCAAGTAGATATGCACTTGAAATTTACCTTTTCAAAAAAATGTTCTTACATTTAAAAAATATGACTTGAAAAAAATCGATTACTATTTATATTACTTTTTTACTGTATTTACGCTTTGTTTCAATTCTTTGCGGAAAAAAATTGCATAGTAGTTTGCTATTAAAAGAAACGGCTTTTTCCTAGCAGTTTATTTTTCATCAATTACTTTTTTTGATAGCAAATATTAATCAAAAAACTGATGGTTTAAGGCCATTCAAAACTTATTAGTGCAGTTAATGATCTTTTTGGTTTGTTACTTAAAACTGAAGTAATAATGGCCCTAATTTTAAAATTAGGGAGAGTTATTAGACCATACCTTCAATAAATTTTTATTCAAATTGGCCAATGTTGTTACTAATCCAATTTCAAACTCATTGTCCATTTTGATGAGAAATTTAATTCAATGTTTGGTATTATAACAATAATTATACTGAATTCATTATTTAAAACTTTTAATTAACTAAACGGGTAAGAAATGGGACAAATTTTTCTTTAAAAGCGAAAAAAAGTTCAATTAATAAACATACGTATACAGAGTATCTCAACTGAGATTTTCTCGGTTAATTTTTTTTTTGTGGTAATAAAAAAAGTTTTTATTATGTAGGTATGTTTTTTATAATAATGGCTTTTGTTACGCGTATCAGAAGTTTTTAAGGCCGTTATACATAGTGTACTAAATGTTTTAATAATTAGGATATACGCATATCTACAAAGATATGAGGTATAAAAGCGAAAAAAAAAAGGTTTGGACACAGTACTTTTACTTGTTCTTAAAGAACACGAAAAGACATGTTTCTAATAAAATCAATTTTGGTGAATTTTCTATTGGCGGTTGTGGTTTGGAGTTCTGTTGTTTATGTAACTTCTGCAGATCAAGTTGATATGCGTATGAGTTTGTGTTTGTTAAATTTAATTATTTTATCGTAATTTTTTCTTTTCGTAGCGTCTTTTCCCAATTAATTCTTACGAAGAGAATCATATTTACTTTTTTAAATTCATGTATAAGTTAAAATATGTATGTTGAATAAAGAAACCAATTAGCAGCTTCTATTTTATTAATTATTATTTTATTCTACATATACTACTCCAAAAAATTGAAGGGACAAAAAATGTTCCTAAATTTTTTGGTGATTTTTGAAAGGCTGTAACTCATCGAAAAATGGTCGTATCTAGATTAAAAAAACAGTTTTGAAGCTTTAAGTTTCTAGTTTTGAGATCTTTTGGCAAATTTTTTTTCTGTGTTACGGTTACCACTTAATCCTAAGTAATAGCGCGAGAAAAAAAAGCTAAACTAATGCAAAATTGTAACAAATTGTTTTTCTCATTTTGACGAAGATTAGACAATATTCAGAAACAATATGTCCAATTGTTCCTTTAATTCTTTTGTAAAATTTTGATCAATCGGTCAGAGAAAACCATTTGATGGATCGATTTAAAAATTTACAGGGATTTGAGGGGTACATTAAGCTGTAAAAACACCTAAAAACATTAGTCTCCCCATCAATATTAGTGAATACGCAGTAGATTTACTAAAACAACGCAAAAAGTTACTTTTTTCTCTTTTCTTTAAATCAATGTTGAGGGTGAAAAAAATATTTTTCAAAAAGTTATAAAAGGATCTTGTAAGACATTTATTCCAGTTTTTGTCACTACCCTTATATTCTCTGTGTGGTCATAGGTTGTTGAGATATCGATAATCAAAGACAAAGGGATCTTTTTTCATTTAAAGTCAGATATCTCAGCTACAACTTGACGTAAAGAGAATATGAAAAAAGCATATTAAAGATGAATGAACAAACTATGTGGCCTATGCATTGACTTAACTAAAAAAAATCCCTACGTTCGAGGACCAAAAGCAAAAAAAAATAGATTTTTTTCTCTCTAGCTATTACTTAGGATTACGTGATAACCGTAGCACAGAAAAAAATTTTGCCAAAAGATCTCAAAATTAGAAACTTAAAGCATCAAAACTCTTTTTATTCTATCTAGATACGAACATTTTTCGATGAGTTACAGCCTTTCAAAAATCACCAAAAAATTATGGAAATTTTTTTGTTCCTTTAATTTTTTGGAGTAGTGTATTTAATTCCGACGCAAAAAAGTAAATATTTTCCGCCCATGTCGCTGTTGTTGGAGTGTTAAGTGTGAGGTTTCGCGTCCGTTAAAAACAAGGAATTTCCATTTGGAAAGTTCCGTATTATCGGATAAATGAAGCCTCATTATTATCGCCGTGAGTTTTCATTAAACTTGAGGTTTTTCCTAACCCGAATTAGGAAAAACGGGCATGTTGAAGGCAAAGTTTTCGATGAACATATAAATAACTTAACCAATTCATTTCCACACACTTTTACAACTATCGACATCCCACCCAGGAGACCATATCTTATATTTACAACTCCAAGGGTTAGAAAAATGCTCTGAAGACAGTGTTGTAAACACACGTCGGCTTTAATCTCTCATTGCTTATTCAAATTTGAAACTGATTAAATATGAAACACAGTTTAAATCCGAAGAAACAAAAATGGATATCCGGTCTTTGCAACTCTGTTTGATGACTTTAATAATTGACAATCCCACCCTCATCATTTGACATTTGCTAAATTAAGTGGAAGTGTTTCGGATCTCTACCGCATATATTACACTGTCTTGGCCACTGAGCAAATTAAGATACTGTTAACACAGCCACGAGCAAACACATTTAGTTTCGAGCCCAAGACGAGTTTGATGAATTACTATCACAAAGGAAGCGAATTTCCTTCCTGAAGAAAATTCAAAAAACTTCTCTGCTTTGTTGTAATTCTGTCTAAAATATTTCACGTATGTGGGTTGCAATCCCGACGTGTTCATTATCGTGCATAACCGAAAGAAACACGAGTTCGTCCAGAAGTTTCCCATTTTTTACTCGGAGCTTTTATGACGTGTTGCAAACAAGAAAAATCCTCTTTATAGGATACAACCCTCAAGGCTGAAATGAGTTTGATTGAAAATAACTATTTTTTATTAAAATTTGTTTATGCACACCTTCGAGCAATTATGCACGAGACTGTGAATAATGGGGCGACGTCGCGATCGTTTGTGACTTTTTTAAGTATTTGAAGGCTTCAGGTGTGTCATTATGTAAATGTATGGTAAAACGTGGAGTAAACAAGTTAATGGTGCTTTACAAAGCTAAGATCGTAAAGAAATACACTTTTGATATCTAAATGGGCGAGTTTAACACTGATATTAGGGTCCAAGTCGGTTATTTCTTACGATTGGGTGCCTCCAAATAATTGGTTGGCATGGCTGATACCCCCAAGGAGCCAATTCTACATAAAAGACTGCAAAATTCAAAAACACTATAGTTTTTACTTTTATCTTTTTTGGAGCCGGTTTCAAATGTAAATTTGGTAACCGGTTTTATTTTTATTTTTATTTGGTTTTTAAGACAATCGCATTGTAAAAATAGCTTTTTTGGAGTGTTTTATTGGCACTTTTCTGTTCCGAAGAAGGATGAAAAACACTGTTTTTTTATACGGAAACCCGTTTGTTTTTATCGGTCTTAGTTTTTTTAATAATCAGTAATAATCATATTTTTCAAGCACTATTTTATGAAAATTTCATTTGCTGGAATAAATGCTCTCGTCTACGAGGAAAATCATATAACGCAAATTATATTTGTATGAGGAGATCAAATTTAGATTTGAAAATGAAGATTTTAATCTAGAAATCAATCCTAATCAAAGAAAAAGTGTTTTACATGAGATTTTGAACTATGAACGATGAAAAAAATTATACAATTAAGAAGTTATCAAGTTTTAATACTTAGATAGTTTTGCTGATTATTATTGTTATGTTATTTCCTATTTCTTAGATGCATCGTTATAGACAGATCACTTTTTGAAACGTAATTTAAAGAAAAAATAAGACTGATGGAAACAATAAACAGGTTTCAAATTTGAACTCTACATAGAAAAATCATTAGAGATCATTTGATCTTGTATCGAACAAAATAGTGCTAATAAAAACACTTGAAAACAGCTAAAAAGTCGATTTTTTACAATTTTGTTAAAATTCTTTAAATACATATAAATTATAACGGGTTTCAAATTTGCACCTTACGAAACAGAAAATAAAGGAGGATTTTGATACTGGAAAATGTTATTAGGAAAAAACATCTTAAAAGATGTCAAAAAAAGAAAACCTTGAAAAATCAAATTCAAAAATGAATTATAATGAAAGATAATGAAAATTTTATCGTCGTGTACAATATAAAATTTTATTCAATCCTCACTAATTTTGTAGTAATTTTGTTGATATTTCTAAATGTCAAAGTAAAATTCAACAATGAAATCTAATGTCAAAGATGTATTTTTTATCATCTAGACCATAAAATTTCACTTTAACATGAAGAAAAGAGTAGATAAAATTCAATTTTAACATATAGGATTGAATAAAATCATTATTTTCTTGCATTTTATGTTCCATCAAGCAAATATTGATGGTGTAATGATTATTATATCATGTTTTCTATAAAAGGGAGGAAAAGCTGAATTGTTAAATATTTCATATAATCTAACTTTTTGTAATAGGTTTTGTTGCGCTCATCTCAAGGTTTACGGCCCTCATTAATAGATAGTGCAATAATTATGGAACAATTTTAATGATAATAAGAGTCTCCATTATTATTATTATTATTATTATCATAACAACAAATGTCTTTTAACAAGAGTTTCTATAAAAGCGAGGAAATAATGGTTTCTTAAATAATCATAACTTGGTGTTAAAGAACAGGAAGAGATATTATATTTGCGCAAAATGTTTTTGAAAAAATCGATTTTGGTGAAAATTTTAATGGCGGTTGTCGTTTGGAGTTATATTTTCCATGTCGCTTCTGCTGTTTCCATTGACAAAAGTTTGTATATTAATAAATAATTTATTGATTTTTATATCTTATTTTTTTGTGATTTTAGAGAATGCGGCGATCTGACGAAGAAACATTTTTGCATTATACCTAATATTTACTTAGATTTAGGTATGTGTCTTTAATAAAGAAATTAAAAAGTACTTTTATTTTATTATTTTCCAAGAAGTAAATATCCACTTGAAATTTACCTTTTCAAAAAATTGTTTTCACATGATTTACATAAGATATTGAACTATGAATGATGAAAAAATTTTATACAATCGAGAAGTTATGAAATTATAGTACTTGAAAGGTTTGCTGAATGCTAGTTGCATTGTTACAAACAGATCAGCACCCCGATGAAGAAAAATATTTATATTATACTTAGATAATATTAGTATATATTAATACGGGTGAAACATGTTTCAAATTTGAACCCTACATAGATTATTTGATCTTGTTTTGAACAAAATAGTGCTAATAAAAATACTTGAACACAGCTAAAAAGTCTGTTTTTTACAATTTAATTAAAATTCTTTAAATATAAATTAATACGGGTTTCAAATTTGCACATTAAAAACAGAAAGTAAAGGAGGATTATTATATTGGAAAATGTTATTACTATTAGGAAAAAAAAATCTTAAAAGATGTGTAAAAAATTAATCTTGAAAAATTAAAATGTCAAAAATGAATTTGAAAAAATGTTAAAGCAAATGGAAAATTTTGAAACGTGAAAAAATTACAAGCCCAAAAATTAAAAAATGAATAAAAATAAATACATTAAAAAAACATAAATCAAAATAAGAAAAAAGGTAATTAATCACTTTTGCCACCTAATACTAAAAACGCAAAGATGAATGGTTAAAGTGGATGGGATATTTTCAAAATATTCTTCCAGAAAAATAAATGGAATACTCAAACAAGCCAATTTTTTAACAAGTTATGAATAGCTTCGTTAATATTTAAAACAGTTAACTAATAATAGCGAAAAAAAAATAGCTAAAGCTCAGCGCATCCATTATTTCTGAAACAGCTTTCTGCTTCTTTTTTAATGAACGAAAATTTGTCTTGTGATTAGCAGACTTTATTTAAAATTTAGCGTAGCTTCAAATACATGAACACTGCTTGCTTTATATTTTTTTCCAATTTTCTAAGGAA